GATGATATATATTTATGTGTTTTAGTAATTTCTTTGAATATTTGTCTGTAATTAAGAAAACTATTTTGATGAGATAAACTAATAAAAAAAACATGTTATATGTAAAAATATTCGATTCTTGTGCTTTCAAAATTTTTTTTTCGACATAAAAGCGAATATTTTTACGCCAAAGCACGTTACAATGATACTCTCTCTGATTAGGAAATGGTACGAAATGCACGAAGCATTTATATATGATATTTACTTTAAGACAGCGCCCAGTTATTAAATAAAACTCTTATATTATTTTTAATACTTTTTGTAAACAAGTTTTCCGTCTTAGTGATAAAATTCAGTCATAGATACAATTTTTATTAACTAAAATATTAAGCAAAAGATGAATATCGAGTTTTTCATTTTCCTAGATGTTGATAGTACCAAGGGGAAACAAACTGATTTCTATGCTAGAAATCATTAGAAATCAAGAAATTAGTTTGTTCTCCCTTGCAAGGTTGGCAGAAATCATGTCTAGAACTGTACAAGAACAACTTAAGTTGTCTCAGGAAATATGAATCTTCTGATGAAACTTCCGATATCCATATTAAAAACTAACTTACGAAAAAAAAAAAACAATAAAGAAAACAAGCTTTTTTCGAAACGAACAAATCGTTTAATATCAGCTACTTGTCGTCCATTTTCATCAATTATCACAGTTTGTATAGCATCAAGCTGTATTTGACAAATCAAATCATTCCTAATTTTATTTAATCATAAATTAACTAGACGTAACATTTCATCACGATGTTTACTATCAACTGGTATACTAGCCTTTGTTTTCATTATTTCAATAGCACAACTACTGTTGCCAAGAAATCTTGTTGAAGACTCTGTTCAATTTGAGCTAATCAATGCATCAGCTTAATAAATGATTTATTTATTTATTCTAAATATAATATATCGAAAGTTACCCAAAATAATTACGCTTGTTATATCGTGACCGACTTTTTCATGTTATGCTAGGATTATATCAATGATTGGTTTACCAGCAAGATATTGAACTTTAATTTAAATAACTGATTCAATTAATATAATGTATTAAAAGAAAATTCAGCCAATGAGAAAAAAACACCAAAGTTTAAGCATTGCTCGTGGACTCACACAGATACGAATTGTATTGGCAATCATATTGAAACATTCACATCCTTGCATACCTTATTTTGTGTATAATTTAAAAAAAGCAGTGAGTACGCGTAATTATTGTATTTTCCATTTTTATACGAGTGCTTAAAGTAAAACATTAAATCCTAGAATGGAAATTTTCCTAGAAAGTTCTAAATTTCTCAAACTATATCAAAGAAATCTATCTGCAATGGATACCAACAACGTCAAAATCTGTTCCACAAATGACGCACAAGTTGTTCACCTTACCCTTACCGTGTAATACTTTCAATTGAACCATTCTACTTCGATGCTTATCGCCATTGAGTATATATTCTTTGCTGTCCTACAGTGCAAAAGCTTAGTAAAACACAAACATTGTCGATACAATGATCTATCCACTCGCTTTACAGTTGAGTGGTCGGTGGATAATTGTACCAACATCTATGAATACAATAGGTTCATCATTTGATTTGATTTTTTTGACTTCTATCGCCATCATCACTTGACGAATTCTGTCTTCCTAGTGAGCTGACTGGTTTTAGAGTGGCCAAATAACAAAGGCATAACTGTACAATCAAACTTGATATTCAGTATTTTTTCTATTTTGAGAGTGAGTGTGGATCTTAGTTCTTTAGATGATATCTACAGATGAAGAACGGTTCTCCTCTGATCTTGTTCGGAGACTACTCAAGATTGATTTCAGTAACATTCAATGTCCAATGTAGTATAATATCCTGTAAAAATCAATTGGTTGCTATTCGTGTGAGATACTGTTCTCCTCAATGTGTATTACCACGTGGCTCGGCGTAAATCATGATCGATGTCAAACAGTTAGCCAAATTACAGGTATCCTGCATATATTAATCAAATAGTTACAATGAAGTCAATTTAATCTCTTACTGTCACTCTTATGTCAAGAATGCTCTGGTTATCAATCACATATCTTGAAAAATAACTTAATTGAACATGAAATTCATCGTTCATTGATCGAATTAACATGTATCAATTGCAAAGTTATTTATAAACAATGTGATGCTACTGTAATTCACACTGATCTTATCTGTTTCAAAGAAAAATGTCGTCAGTCACAAGAAAAAAAAACAACAACTCAAACAAAACTTACAAGAACACGAACGACAATTGAAAAAGTTTTCTCAAAATTGTGAAGAACATATTTTACAGTAAACATTAGTAAGCGACACTTTTGACAAAAGAAGCTTCAAGTTTGAAAGTCGTGTTGTATTAGCTTAGTGGAATTAGAAAACTGTGAAAAAAATTTGATTGGTCGAAATAAAAGAGTTGATACCAAGATTTGTTTTTCCATCTTTTTAATATAATGATCAGAATAAATTTATACTGGGACTTTTTTGCGCATGTTTATATATTTATCATATTAATAAGATACTTTTGAACATAGTCATTCTTTGCAATTCTATTGTTTAACTCATCACTTCACTATGTTATTGGTACAAGTTTTTTCTATTTAATTAAGCGGCGGTACAACTAGGATAGAAAAAAAAGAATTTACGATTTGTTCCTTCAATTAACACGAACATGATCGTTTTTTCTTATTATTCTATTCATATTGTTAACAATTACTTATCTCTCATACTCAAGTTGTTTTTGATCTCTTATATATATTCTTTCTATTCTTATCAATAATAGTCTTTAAAGAAAAGAAAAAAAAAAACAATAGCAAAAAACATTGTTTTCATTATCATCCTCATCATCATCATATACCTGTTGCACTCTCTATTTGCCTGCAAGACATCAACGTAGTAAGTCACTTGCTCTAATCTTATGCTCGTGCGTGCGGATCAATGAACTATTGAGTAGGTTGTCTGCCGTTCCACTACTCTTTTTCTTTTCGACTTGTTCTCTATAATCAACGTCATATGGCCTGAGGTCATTATTTGTCTCTGATCTATTCGGCATAGTTCAGCCGTCGCCTACTATCTCTAATTGTCTCATACACACAATAGAAACAATTTTCAGTATAAAAGAAAGACAAATTTTCATTTTCTTTTTCTATTTTTATTTTTAATCAAATCACCATACGGCACATTTTCCTCTTCGCACCTCAGCATGTTGATATGTAGAAAGTGAAAAGATATGCGTAATCAGAGTAGATTCACGTGTCATTGATAAAGAGTGTGGTCAAGTAGATTCATACACATACCATTATAATAAGAATATTATGTTTTTTTTCTATTATAACGAAAGTTGATAGTCATTGATTATAAACAAGCGTGAAATGAAGAGTCTCCATTCTGAAAAATATAAAAATAAAAATGAGTCCTACTGTGAGAACTCAACTAAATGGCCTGTCTACACGAATGTGTCTGTATATTTCACTTAAACAATAGGCGAGAAAAGTTAGTAGTTTTTTTTTACTGTAACTTTTTTCTCGTATTGTATGAGTGAAAGGTGTGGCACCGGATAGATGTCTGATTGAATGCAGGTGTAAATAAATCTATAACATGCTGTGTCTACTATTCAATATTGTGTTTCCTGTACAATTGTTCATTCATTGTAGAATGACGATGAGTAGGTGGCACAAGACATCGCGTGTCTATAGAACGAGAAAATCTGCTCGACATACTATTCAAATGTGAGAACAATAGTAATCGAAAGAGATTCTAATCTTTATCATCATTGTTTTATTCTCGATTTGATTATTTCTCTAGATGTGTATGTTTAGATTGCGGAAGTGAAGGGAGGAGAAACTTGTTGATATAGAAAAAAAATATTAAGTACCTATCACTAATTACTAAATAATAGAAGATTAAAAAGATAATCATATTCAGAGAAATTTAATCAGATGTATAACTTATAGAACACTTTACAAAACAGAAAAAAAGAAATAAGGAAAATATTACTATTGTATACAGTTCTATATTTATGTAGTACAGACATTTTCGAAGAACGTACTTCTTCAGATAAGCAACACCGTAGCATCCACACTCTTTGATGTTCCTTGTCAATTAGGGATTAATTCGAAGAAGATATATAAACAAATAAAATAAAAAAAGATGGCTGTTTAACTTTATAATGAACGATGAAAACACCATGCACACACATCCGAACTTCTAATTCGAATAAATTTTTGATGCAATCGATGTACAACAAATTATGTAAATCGTTCTTCATCTTTTTTGGTGATCTATAGATATATTTGTAGACAATTCGATTACTATCAAGTGGCAATCGTCGCTTCGAGATTATCCAAAAAAAAAAATTAATTCAACTTCATTGAATACTGTTTTTCTTCTGATATGAGACCAACACACTTCTCGGACATTCTTATTTCTATAGTTGATGATGATAATCTCTTTTTCTGTGTCTACGGTTAGGTGTATTATTGCTGATTGATATAAATTGAAAGATTATGACGTCGATCAAATAGAATAGACATCGAACAGTTATATGCCAGAAGGCGTTTCTTTTTTCAAGAAAAGAAATTGTTCCCACCATGTAAAAAACTAAAGAAAAGTGATTCATTTCGTGTTGATTGTCAATTTCTTATCTTTTTTCTTTGAATGTATTTAATCGCATGATGCAACGGTCATCCTAATTATTTTGAAAACAGCACAAAAAAAAGAACATGTTCCGCTCTATAATTTTATAGATAGATGAACACACGATCTATTCTCTAACTGTGCGAACGGTCATGCAATAAATCGAAAAAAAAAAAAAGAAAACTTTTCTCCAATCAATCAACATTTCATATTCTTTTCCTATCAAAAAAAAAAAAAGAAATTTTTTTCCTTTCCTTTTCTCTTTCGTTCTTATCGTTCGTTCGTTCCTCATTTTTCCATTTCAATCAACAACACATAACACATTCATTTTTATTCAAGAGAATGACAACAAAAACAACCATTACCTTATCACCAATAAAACGTTGTTATACGTCACCTAATTTACAAAAACGTTGTATTACATCAATTGTTACACATTGTAAATATCAAACAAATTTATCTTTACCTATACCAAATATGATTTCTTTACCATCGCCAACAACGACAATTACTGTTAGTTGTGAACGAAAAAATTTATCAACAAATAATTTACCTGATCTTGTCAATGATATATTAATTGAAGAACAACAACGAGAAACTATTAAAAATATTGCAATTACATTAAGAAAAATTAGTGATCAAATCGATGAACAAATTCAAGTAATAATAAAAAGCAATAAGATTTTATAATAAATATATTTATCGGAGAATTTTCTTATTTTTAGATTAACAACAGTTTATCTTCGAATCACATATTTGCCCAGCGAACCATCACATTTATTCATTGTTTATCACATATTCTTCGTTTTTTCTTATAATCATTTAATATTAATTGTTGTTCATTGGCCCGGTTGTTCTATTATGGTACTACACATCGCACTATACATGTACATAGCATCTGTTTCTTTTCTTGTGTTTCTAATATTTATTTTTCAAAAATATACATGCTAATATTACATACACACACGCACTTTTTTTCTTGATCTTATCCAAAGTTTTATCAAATTGGATTGTCTACAATGTTTACGAATTAAACATTTAATCTTGTAAAAAAAAAAAAAAACTCATTTGTCACCTTTCAACAGGAAGAAAAAAAATTGAAGAATTTTAATTCGATCAACAAGTATATACATACTTGTTGACGTTGACTTATCACTTTTCTATAAGTGACACGCGAGCATTGATTGACACGAACATATTTACAAATACATATTTAGTTTTTTTTTTCTCAAATGTGTCAAATATGATAGTCATTATCCATATTGATTAGGTCACTGAAGCAATGGTCAAGTATTGCTCATCATCACCTTTTCGTATTAAGTCAAGTAGCATTTGTCTGCTAAACAATCAACCATGACAAATGTCATATATATCGCTTTTATTTTTTTGTCTTTGAAAAGTGAGACTCTTGAATTCTTTCGGATAGAACACGACTACTAGAGATTGATTATTGCCGGCATTCTTTTTGATCAATATACTTGATAAGTGTCTTATATTGGTTGACATATCAATTTCATTTATTTTCTATGATAGCGGCAATGGGTGGTTTCCTTCTGTTTTACGATATTCTTTTGTTTTTGTTCTTGTTATATTAACCACAACATTAGAAACTTTGATGTATTACTATTGCTTTGATCTCTTTGGTAATGGAAGGAAATCGAAAGTGACACGTGCGTTTCGGATTTCACTTGGTTTTATTTTCGAAAACATAGATAGATGAAAATAAAGGTCAATGAATAAATAGATCATTGAAAATAAATGACATTTTATTCAATCAAAGAAACAAAAGATCAGATACGTATTACCAAAACTAATAGCAAAGGTACTTTAATTCCTTATAATAACTTTAAAGAACTTTCCTTCTATATGAATTGATAGTAAAAACAACAAGCTACTGTATCACTCTTCAACTAATATCATAATCATAAAATTTCAAAAATACTTGTTTGGTTATAATATGTTATGAGTGCATTAGTTCATATGGTCTTCGACATATATTCTCTTTGTTCTTCTCTTCTAGAATGCATAGCGATCTATATATATTTTAAGCTATACAAAAAATAGTGACGGCAGAACAAAAACAAAATATACAGAAACAATTAGCTCGTGATTCGTCTTCAATATCTCATTGACCTCCACGAAACCATTTCGCCTATCTTTCAACTAGGCTAAGAGAAGGAGCTTCATCTCCAGAAACAAAATTTCATTCATTATGAATAACTCTTCCTTGAAAGTTTTACCTAACTTTACTTTTTTTTTAAAAATTGACAACATCCTAATAATATACAGATTAGACATTAAAAGAGAAAAGAAGAACAAAGAGAATATGTATCGAAGACAATATGCACTAATCAAATTGAGACACATCACCAAACAGATATGCTGAAAATTTTATTATTAGAATATCAGTGAAAAGATGATATAATAACGCAGAAAAAATAGAATGTCGTTTGCGATATCAGTTCATATAGAGAAAAAGTTTCTTCCAGCCTTCTTATAAGGAATTAAAGTATCTTCGTCACTACTTTTGGTATGTTCTAAGTATTTATCCACTCGAGAATCATTCAGTAAAATAATTGACTTTATTTAAAAGAAATGACTATTTTATGTGCATTTCATTTGTTCAATACAAGAGTGTTCGAGAATCATTCTTCGCTCGGGACAGCCCCGTCTTCCCATTTGTAGGTAGTACGATAAATCTTTTTATAATTAATAAAGTGTGCTTGATGTGCCTTACGGCATTGATCCCTACAGATGATGTTTTTGTCAATTTGTTAAATAATTAAGTGGAACACGTTTTTTTTGTTTTTTTCGTCAATCGATTTATATCTTATCGCATGCAATAAAAAACATTATCGATACATACACATACGACACGTATCAAGTTGATCATCCGATTACCTCATACATATATAGGTGTATGTGTTGCTAGTGAATATATAATTGAAAATTGGCTTTCATTCAACACTTAGGTGTCAAATGTCATGCTGAGTTAGAGAGGCGGAGAACAATTCATTTTTCAATGTGACTCTTATGCACCTGTTTGTTTTTATTATGGTAAAATCAACTAATTTTAATACTTGTATGTTTGCTCTTTTCTTCTACATATTTCATTAAGAAAATGAATTGTGGATGGGTATTGATGCTAAAATCTAATCGAGTGGGTATGAAGAAGAGAGAGAAAAAATATAAGCTGATTAACATATAAATAATGCGCATGGCTACAATATACGTGTTGATTGCTTTCTATGTTTTTAAATAAAATGATATTTACTTTATGAATAGAAAACTTGAGAGTTGTTTTTTTGATTTATCAATATACTTATTAAATTAGATATTTAGTTTATGTTAGTTAAAAATAAGTTTTCTTATCACCAGATTGATAGAAATCGAAAGCATAATGATAGATCTTTTGTATGAGTGGTAACACTTCAAAAAAAATTTTTGTCAACGTTTTTTTTTATAAATATGAACTATGAATTCATCTTTATCAGTGGTGAAAAAATGAGTCTATTTAGTCAAAGCATAGCATTTATACTCCATGTTTTCTCGGTATAGCAACTAGTCAGCTACCCTTTATAGAAAAAATTTATATTAGAAAATTTATAATTTTTAACATTTGATTAATACTTTTGTATTACTCGAAATAGAAAAAGTGATTAAATGTTCTTGTTAAAATGAAAATTTCGAAAAAGAAAATTTTCGTCTTAATTCGGGATTTTAATACTTTCATTTGCAATAATAAACGTTAAGCTCACTTATATTAATAATTTTATTTGCGCACGAATGATTTTCAAAGATGCTTGTTCATGAACATAATTTAGAGATACTTTTCTTTCCGACTAAATCATTCGTAAACCGGTGACCAATATTGTTTATTGAAAGAGGCATTACTAGAAGAAAACCTTTTTTTTTTTTTATTTGTTCTCTTCTCTTTATACTTACAGACAGATGCAATAGTTTTATATCAGTAACTATTGATATGATAAATACTACCATTTTAAAGAGTTGTGTCAAAACGAGAAACCTGTTAAAATTGACAGGATTTAGTATTTCCAATGTAGTCTGATAATACTGATCGATCTGTACTAGTCTCAGAGTTCAAATCGAATTAGATTATGAGCTAAATTTTTACTAGTAAAATTTATTCTGAAATTGTTTTCTTCTCGATTAATTTGAATTCTTTCTAATAAATAATTTGAATTTGAATATGAAACATTCTACAATCATTTAGAGCTGAAATAGAAAGTTGTAAGTGTTACCACCGGTAATACAAACAAAGATGTGGTATGGATTGTAAAAGCATTTAATGATATTGTTTCAGTAGAAAAAAGTTGGATTCTTCAGAGAAAGCTTTGTTAACCTTTCATATCTGCTAACAGAGAATACTAGCTAAATGTCAGCCTATCGTTTCTATTCATTGTTGTATATAATTAATTATAGAATTAGTTTTTTTTTACTACTTCTGGTATTGTATTTAAACGGTATTCAATAGTTCTCTTACTTGTTCACAACAGATTGTAGAAAAGAATGAATTAATCTTCGGTTATTGTTTAGTATCAATGCAAAAAACATGACTATCTCTTATTAATTTGTTCATAGTTATATCATTCAAGTATATGATATATTTTTATTGCTAGTCTATTTTTGAAATAATGAAATCTCAAATCTGTAACAGTTGGTAATATATCTACTTGTAATCACTGTCAACTTTAGTTTTATCACAAACGACCTGTACATAGAATCAATTTAGAACAGGCATTTATAGATATTTCCGTTCATTTTAGAAGGACTATTTACACACACTAATTTCTTCCACCGTTTCAATATGGCAGATAAATCGTATCATTGTGAATGTCAATCTGTGTTTTCTTTCACAGTAAAAAATAATCTTAAGTGTTTCGAAATATCAGACAAAATTGATAAAATCTAAGTTTTTTTTAAAGTTTCCGTTCCGGGTGAAATCGTTGTTTTCTTTCCGCATAATAGGTACTCTATTGTAAAACCATCAAAGACTATTAAAAAGCGTTCGCTATACTTAAGTGTTCAGATTAGAGACTTGACGCATGTTTTACTACGAAATGAAGAAACTATTTCAGAATATTTGATTTTACTCCATCCTCGTTGAAACACCTGTTTATCAATGTTTTCGTTTATCTGTTTTATAAAAATTCTCTCATAGTCAAATCAATATCAATTAGGTTTGATTCTAATTAATTCAAATTTTTCGTGCAAAATAAATTTGTATTGTGATGTCATTCTTTTCTTTATACAAAGAGCAGTCGAATCATGAATAAGATGTACATATTCAAAGTTCATAAGAAACAAGTGATAGTAGAACATAGAATCAAGCAATGAAATTATTGTACCGATCTAGAATAAGTACATTAAAACTTTTTGTTTCATTATATACTTCAATAAGTTCAATTAACTATAATGAACTTACAAATAAAATATTATATTCTAACGTATGAGATACTATAATTGTATATTTCCTACTAGAATTGTCCACATGGATGAATTGAGAAAGCGATATATTAAAAGATATACATGGTATATGATGTCTTAATGGAAAAAATAAAACTAGGAAGGATTAAAAATAATATTGCTGTAGTATACAACTACAAGTTAAATACAACCAGATGTTCGTATGTATAAAAGAGAACATCAATCAGAGAACGTCATAAGACATCCAAGTTATCTCATTGATCATGATTCAATGAAGTTCTGGTCTATTAGTGAAACTAGTCGTGATTTTTTATTATTATCAATGGTAGTCAGAAGAGTAGACGCCGTATCAACGATTACTGCTTCGATGCAACGATTATTTTAGCTCAGCTGGGTTGACATCTACTCAAGGACGAATATGTTTATCATCAAGTCAAATTAATAACATATTATTTATTCGTTCATACGAGAAAGTCAAGAAAATGCAATAAAAAGAAAACATTCCTTTTTGTTGTCCATCTGTTTTTCTTAATTATATTTTGAATCCTGTATTTTTATGTTTGCTTTATTCACCTTATGAGTATCAAGAATTTTTAAAAAAAATTTTCATTTTATTTTTGCTAGAAAACAAGCGATAAGATTTATTAACAGGATTATATTCTAATTGCTTTCTATATAAACAGTACGTCTATGATATTTGACATCGTACCTCATATACAGACTAGGATTCTTTTTTTGTCCTTGTTAAAAATGCAATGAAAAGATCGCCCTGCAAACTGAACACAGGAGGATGTCTTTGTTCTGCAATGTTCTAATAAAAGCCCTAAAACAATTTCGATTGACATATGGCTTAGCTATCAAATTTTTTCCCAGAGAGGTCCCAAGTTTTCTGAAAACTTTTCTTTTTAATTTCGACCTGAACCTTTATGCATATCGAGAACTCAACTAAACTAGCTTTCAAAAAATATATGCTGTATACGCTATTCAAGAAAAATTGAAAATTTCATATCTCGAAAAAGCTTTGTTGAGAACTTCTGAATTTCTTTTATGGAAGATTGTCTAGTTGAGTTTGCTATACGCACAAAGTTTTAGATCAAAATGCAAAAATGCAAGTTTCTATGGCATGCAGAATAGGACAAAGAAAACCGTCCTATGTCGTTCATCGATCTCGATACTTAAATATATAAATTAACAAAATCACAACAGTTTCATATTCGTCATGATTGAACAGATTGATAATTACAAAATGTTCAAAATCTCATATCCAGTCAATAAGGCGTACTGATCTCAAAAATAATATAAGAAAGAATTTGAAAAATCAATGTGAATAGGTTTTTGATCTGTTAACTGTTGAGAAATAAGTACCCAAAAAATGATGGCAAAACAACGATGATTAGCCTCTACGAATAAATATTATTAAAATACAAAATCTAATTAATAATTTTAAATATTTGATATTCGTCTCGTTTGATTTAACAGTTTCTATGTCATATGGAATATTGCTTTCATGAAAAATAGCTTTACAGCAATGCGACAACCTTCAATATCAATGACTCCATGACATATTCAATGCTTTGTCGCACAAGAATACTAATATATATTGTTGTTGTCCTAACGCAATTAGTTTTTATTGTAAATGTGTATTGAAAAATCATTTTGATTATATATATCGGAAAGAATATAGATGAAAATTGAAAATATATATATATAACAATAATTTAATCATAATTGAATAATAAAAATTTATATTATTATTTGATTACTAGTCAATCAATTCAATAATTCAATTGTATAACAATGAATGAACTATTGTTGTTAATTACTTGCGCACATCGTCTATATAATCATCGTTGACATCAACAATTTTTTTTATCAAAATAAAGTCATTTATTCACGTCAAAAGATGTGCTTAACCATATGTTTCATGTTCTATTTTTAAACTCAAATCATATTTTCCTCTTTTTTTTTATAGTTTTTTTCTCGGAAATTTTGTTTAAACATAATAGAAAACGAGAGAAAAAAAAATAGAAAGAAATTACTGCGTCATTTCATGCATGCCTAGCATGCGTTATTCTTTTTTTTTCTTCATTCTACTGTCTTTTTGACATAAATTTATTCGAGCTGATTCATCAAGGATACATGCTTGCATGCACACTATGAGAATAGTCGTTACTATTACCATTAATAGTTCTAGATTACTTCACTCGTTCTTTTTGTATATGTCTGTATGCAATCAGAAGCAGTCTTCAACTTAGACGCCTTTTTTTATTAGACCAGAAAGAAAAAAAACGTCGACCAAAATACAGAAGTGCCGTCTAGTTATTGTTTTGCTTGATTCTATAACACGCGCTTAAAGATCATTCATATATAGCGCTCGCAAATTTACATATATCTATACAATTAAGGACAAAATGTTATATACAGGATGGCCCATAAATAATTAGACAATACAAATACTCAATATTTCTAACCTATTTTAATGGATTGCAGTGGTTCTTTTTTTCTCGGAAATAGCCGATTCTTTAAAATTTTTACTCGCAAGGAAACCGTCAATGGATATCAATTCGAAATACAGTACTAGTCAAAAGTGTCTCATCCATTCATAAGACTTGACATATGAAATTCTTAGGATATGTACTACTTTCTAAAAGAGATGTGCAGGATAAGGGTATGAAAATTTTTCTCAGTCAACATACGAAAAATGTTTACTCCGTACATCTCTACTTCGGATGTAGACCAACGAGACAAATCCGATTTTGTTCACTAGAGTTGAAGATGTGTTATGACGAGTCATAGCTTTTCTCCCTAAGAGTTCGATAAGTGAAGAAGGAAAGAAGTTGACAATTCGATCAATCTATCAGTATGTAAAATAGCCGCATTAAAGGACAACATAATGATAGATTTGTCGAGTCATAAACTTTTTTTCCTTCTTTAGTAAGAAGGACTATCATACATGTTAACTTCTCTTCAATTCAAGTGGTCGAAGACGAGTTGATCTCGTTTGCCTACATTTGTAAGGTAGCATTCATGCTAAAAATTTCATATGTCTAGTTTAATGAATTAGTAAGATAATTTTGACCAATAGTGGTCCTTTACTATTACTGAGAAAAAAAAATCGGCTCGATTGATTAAAGTCTAGTATTGTTTATGAATGTCTGACATGTTCAATGCGTACTTGTCTCGTTTTATCATTTGTACAAAGCCTTTTCGATGACTGACATGCTTTTTTTCATGAGTACTAACATTAATTACTATTGAATATCACGATAAACACATGGGAATATGTTTTTTTTTTCGTCGTCTGAATTGATTCATTAGACTTATAAATTATTCATGTTCATTTCTATTCTCTTTCAAATAAACCAAAGAAAAAAGCATTAAAGTTCATTTGTTGATTATCTTTTCTATTAAATAGCTAAGGAAATATTTGAATAACTCCATAGGAACCGATAAATGCGTATATATTCATTAGACGATCTTAGTGTCGTCATTTGAGGAAGTGGGTGAGAGTGCTGAGTTCTCTGTTGTTTTTTTTTTCGTTTGTACTTCTCTGCCTTTTTTTCTTCTTCTTTTCTGCCTGTATCTCTCTGGAGAAAGAAAGCAACAGATATGATAGATAGAAGCACAGCAAGCCAAAATAAACTTTGGCCTTCTTTCCTCTATCCATTGATGATACGCCATACAGTTGAGATATGATGTCCATCTTTTGAGAAAAAAAGTTAAGGTCAATTGATCATGCATATATAGCTTCATTTAAAAAAAAATGATCTCTTCATACATCATTTTGTTTCAGTCTTTTTTTCTAGTATATATATAGAGTACGTTAGTCAATGTAGTGAAGCATTCCTTTTTTCTATCATCTTTCTCCTTTGCTTTCTTGTATAATATATATGAATGAATGAATGAATGAATGAAAAAAAAGAAAGAAGGTCAACGGCGGCAGGCGGTTACTTGTTGTTGTTTTTGTTGTTGTTAAAAGATAACAAGCTGCCAAAATTCCCGATCATACAATTATTCATTCTATCTCATCTCGTTTTCTTTTTTCTTTTTTCTTCTTTCTCCTTAGAATCGTTCGTTCATCTTATATTTCAGATATTTTATGTGTATATACAATAAGTATATGGATTCCTTGAGGCTAGCAAATCGACACAGACCGTTAAACCAAATGAGTAGTATGTACAGCTGTGTCAGTATGAGCTCGAGTAATAGAATATAATAAATTGTTCTTGATTACAGCTGTGTCTAATACTCTTCACTATTTTTGTCTACTCGCTTCTTATCGTTTTGTTCGTTCGCTAGATTTATTTTTAACGAATAATAATGGCTGAAAACGATACACCCTCGACTGAAGTACATCTACATAAACCCGATGAACAAGGTAAAACTATTATGAAAATTATTTTTTTTTTCAATTCAATTGGAGTCTTTTCTTGTTTTTTTTTATCGGTAATATTATAGTCATTCACGGCGAAAGTCATCAACAAAAAGAACAAATAATTGTTGAAAATGCAAATATTTCTCATCATCTAGAAGATATTCATGTTACAGTTAATAATGAAAATCTTGCACCAATCGAAAATAAAACTGAAGAAATTAAAGGTAATAATATAGTGTTATAATGACAATGTAGATTATATATAAATGTATTCTTTTTTTTTTAAACATTGTAATAGATAAAGTTAATGAGGTAGTTGATAACACACAACATACATTGAATGAAACAGTTAATATAACTGGTGAACATGCAACTGCTGCTGCTCATAATGTTCAGGAACAAGCAAAAGAAACTGCAGATAATGTTCAAGGTAAAATTTTGTTCATACGTGATTATTTAAACGAGAATATTTTATAGAAAAAGCTACTGAATTAAAACAGGATGCTGTTGCTACTGCACATGCCGTAGAAGAAAAAGCTGCAGACACAACACATGTTGTTCAAGGTAAAATTCTTATTGCATTGATTTCTTATTTACATGATTAAGTTTTAGATAAAGCTGTTGAATTAAAACATGATGTTCAAGGTAAGATTCTTAGATTTTTAAATGTAGGAAGTTTTTCATGGTACTTCCTGCTCGTTTGCACTACTTATGATTCTCTGTCAGAGTATAGACTGGTTAGAATGAAGTTTTTTGTAGAGATATCTAGAACAAAATCTCAGAAGAGTTTTTTATTCCAGGTACCTCTCGAAAGACTTTCATCTCGACTGGATAAAATAAGATCGAGATCATAAACAAGCTTGACGGGTTTTGAAGTTCCCTTCAAAAACTCTTGAAAACCTTCTTTGACAAAATTTTGTTCGAACATGGATTCCATCATTTTCGATAATTTAGCTGTGGTAAAAATTTGAGCCAGGCTCGTTATACGCTTGCGGAGAAGCAGTAGTAGTCCAAAAGAAGAGAATATTCTTAAGAGGTCTGATTAGTTGTTGATACTTGGATTATTTTATAATGTTCATCATCTTGTGAACACTTTAAATCTCCATAACGAAACTAAGATTGTACCAGAGATGAGTTCATTATTTCATATGATTATTACTTTCTTCAATATATGAACTATTTCTTAGATAAAGCTGCTGAATTAAAACAAGACGCAGTCGCTACTGCTCATGCAGCAGAAGAAAAAGCTACTAATGCAGCACATGCTACTCAAGGTAAGATTTTTATCTGATAAATGTCTCATTCATACAATGATTAATTTATAGATAAAGCTGCTGAATTAACACATGACGCGTCTACAGCCGCTCACGATGCTCAAGAAAAAGCCAAAGAAGTAGCACATGATGTTCAAGGTAAGCTTTCTTAATTTCTCGGCGATAAGGAATGTTTAAATCTTTGACGGCGAAGCTGAAATATAGTAAAACAAGCATTTTCAATATTTGTGGTGTGCTGACATGGATATCACTTGCAATAGTATTGCATCTTTAAATTAAGCATGAGTGCAAGAGTTATGATCGCCGATTTGAGCTTATATTGAACCTATAGGCAGGTCTCAATGAGACTAGCAAAAGCCTTGAAAGGCTTCATACCCATACGCCTTTGTTACTGGGTTACGATAAGTTTACTAGAGTTTTTATCCGAAATTTCATCGATAGATAGATCTAATGGCTCTTAGAATATCTCGAAAGTTTCAGGGCATTCTAAGAATCATTAAATCTATGTATAGATGAAATCTTGAACCAAAACTTCATTATTATGTTTTTCAAAGAGTACCTAAAAATGGGTCAAAAATCAGTAAACCACTCATGATTCAGTGACAGAGGCTTTATTTTATACGCATAGTAAGTCCTTCAATATATGAAATATTTTCTAGAAAAAACTGCTGAAGTACAACATGGCGCGGCTGAGGCTGCTCATGGTGCTCAAGAGAAAGTCCACCAAGTAGCACACAATGTGCATGGTAAATTCCATCAATCATCAGTCTAACGTTGATGTAATATTTATTTTTTATAGACAAAGCAAGTGAAATAGCTGCTGATACGAAAGGTGCTTTTATAGCTGGTGAAAAAGCAGTTGAAGAGAAATTAACTGCAGCCAAAGACACAGTTTTAGGTGAGTCTATGAAATAAACAAATACTTTAATCATATTATATTTAGAAAAATCAAGTGAATTAGTTGATAGTGCTAAACATACTGCTCATGATGCTAATGTTAAAGCACATGAATTAGGAAAATCAGTTGAAGAAAAATTAGAATCAGCTGAAAAAACTGGTAAAAATTTTTTCTACAATTTTTTTTCATAATAAAAATTCTTTTATCGTTAAATTAGCTGAACATAAACTTGAAGATGGTAAACATGCGATTAGCGAAAAAGCATCTGAAGCTAAAGCTAAAGGTGCTGGAATCCTTGGTGCAACACAACATGCAATTGCTTCCGGTGCTGCAATTGTTAGCGAAAAAGTTAAACATGGAATAGAATTAGCATCTGGTGCCGTTTCTCATGGTAAATCACATGAATCCGAAAAACAAGTCGAACATAAATTAGAATCAGCTGAAAAAATTGGTAAAAAAATGTTTCTATGATTTTTTTAAATTTAAATATAATATCTATTATCGTCTAATTAAATTAGCTGAAGAAAAAGTCGAAGAAAGTAAACAAACAGTTAATGAAAAAGCATCTGACGCTAAATCTAAAGGTACTGAAATACTTGGTGCAACACAACAAGCACTTTCGAGTGGTGCTGCAGTTGTTACTGAAAAAGCTAAGCAAGGAATAGAATTAGCATCTGGTGCTGCTTCGAATGTTAAAACATCTACTGGACAATTAGCAGGCGACGCACAAGCGAAAGTTGTTGAAACGGCTCATAATGCCCAGGGTTTGAATATTGTTTGAGAAAAAACTGTTTCTCATTATGCTTATTTACATTTAGTAAAAGCTAGCGAATTGTTAACAACTGTTGAAACAAAAGCTGCTGATGCTGCTAATGTAATTGCTGCAAAAACTGTCGAAGCAAAAAATACTACTGTAGCTGCTGCACAAACGGTCGCATCGACAATTCACGGTAAAATTTTGCATTCTATTTTGTAGAAAATAATTTTATTGATTTTGATTTCATAGAAAAAACAAGCGCTCTTTTGGATAGTGGTAAACAAGTCTTAACATCTTCAGCTGCATCTCAATCTGCACCAATAGTATCTGCTGGTACTGATCATATCTCACAAGAAGCATATGTTACTCATACATCTGGTCAAACTGCTCATGGTCCAGATCCAATAACTGCTGAACAAGTCGCACCAACTACAACGAAAGCTAGTAAAGGTGGTCCAATAGCTGCAATTCGTAATTTTTTTATTCGTTTATTCAGTCCATCATCACATAGACATGAAGAACAACGAAAAGCTAACAGTAATGTTCCTACAAATGCTGCTGATCACACAACTGAAACTACAACAACAGTTGCAACAAGCAATCCACCAATATTATCATGAAATATTTTATTCTTTATTCTTATCCTTATGACCCGTTTGCTTGATAAATAAACAGTGCTAAACTGAAAAACTCGCTTTGTCTTTTTCTTTTTTCTTTTTGTTCTATTCTTGTACACTTACGTACTTTATCATTTATTATGTGTGCGTGCATGTTTGCTTTTGTTTTGTTATTATTACTATTATTACTCACCTTTTGTTTTCGTCTTTTCTTTCTTTTTTTTTTTTTTTTTTATTCAGTTGCAGTTTTATTTCCTGTTCTTTTCTTTTTTCTTCGTGTCGTTAAAAAGATACAAGGAGAAACACAAAAGTATGATACAAACGAAGTATGTTTATATGAATGAACTTCACTATCTTCTATATGTTTTTATTTCGAAGATAATTTACTGATATTGGTGTGTATAGATGTACTTGTATTGGAATTATTTGTTCGATTAATTGTGTTTCAAATCTTCTAGCTTGTTTTTTTTTTCGAAAGTTATTTTCATTAAACCATAAGTGCCTTGTATTTCAATATATTTGCATGTAGAATAACAGCATAAACAAATGATAATACTAATCATAGTTAAAAGTAGAATTGAAATATCTTGTATCAAACTCATGTTTTGTTACTTATAACAGTTGTGCAAAGTCAGGAAAAAGAAAGTCGCAATTTCCGTAGAAAAGCATACGTACGCTTATGCTCATCGAAATGCGGCTATTGAAAGAAGAATTTCTGATCTACTTTATCAAAAAGCAAATTTTAATAGCGAAGCGGAAATGTACCACAAGAAAAAGAACTCAAACTTTTCATACAGTTCTTATTGACTTGTACAAGAATCAATACGTTCTCAATTTTTTTTTAAAAGTCAGCTTAATTGAGAAAATGCTATAATAAACTGCTGGAGATGATGAAAAATATTGGCGTTTATACAAAAAATAATGTGATGTTCTGCTCAAATCAATGAATCTGATGGTAGGAGAAAAGTGTTTGAGCCTACGAAGCATGAAGCAAGGGTAGACTTTTGCTGCCAATGCTGATTGAACACGAGTTGGTGGTAAATAAAATGTGAATTGACCTTGTAACAAAGCGTCATTTATTAGAAGAAAAAATGAAATTTAAATAGTAATAGAAATTTTTTTAATAATTATAGCATATCTAAGCCTTTATCCGTCTACTACAACATGGATTCTAATCCGCCCAGATCTTGTGGCTTCGCCGTCTACGATTCAGAAGTCAATCAGAAAAACAATAAGCGACTAGAACTTCGCAGGAGAAAAATGAAAATTTTTGAAGATTGGTAGGTATCCTCTGAATACCTTTAGAAGCAAAATACCTTAAGTTGATTTTTTCACATAATAAAAGATTCCGAGTCTTCTAACATGAATTCCAAATGCATAAAAGATTGAATATCGTTGTTACATTTTAGTTAGTTTACTATGATTATGTTTGAAATATAAAAACAAAAAGAACTACAGTTAAATGTTACTCTTCTATACATTAATCTAAACTGAAGAGTGCATCCCTTCAGCTGCTCACTCCAAATGTCAATGATTTTTTACTTATAGATACTAAATAGTGTTCTGATATAAACCCTAAAAGGATTTGAGTTCTTATTGAAATTCGACTAAGTTATTAAATTTTGATGTGAAAATTTGCGCATATACAGAACTCAACTAGACTAACTTTCGAAAAAAAAAGAAGTTCAGAAGTTTTGAACGAAGTTTCTTCGAGATATTAAACTTTTAAAGCACGCATTTAATACACATTACCCATGGAAAATGGTCTATATCTTAAAGACTGTTCAAAACTTTTGAATTTTTTTATGGAATCTATTCTAGTTGAGTTCTCTATATGCGAAAAGTTTTAGATCGAAATTCAAAAATATAAGTTTTTCGAAAGCCTGAAATCTAGAGAGAAAAAATTTGATAGCTTGATCAAATTTCAATAGAAACCAAAATACTTTTAGAGTTTCTATTAGAACGCTATGTAGTGTCTACAGGCAAAAATCATTAAAATCGGAAGTAGAGAGTTGCAGAGATGCTCTCATGAGTTGTTTTATATTGTTATTATTTGATTACTTTTAATAAATGTGAGTTCCTATCTATTTTTTTTTTGGTCATCATTTTCTTGTCATTACATTGTTTTTTTTTATTATCATCATCATCATTATCATCTTCGGATTCCAATTGATGATATGTAGATAAACGTACTAATTCATTTGTCACCTTCATCAATCGTCAAAGTAATTTCAACATTGGAGTCATCATAAGAACTGTTATAATTATCAAAATTTGAACCATTACCATTACAAATACATGCATATTGTTGTTGGTGTTGTTCGTTCATATTTTATATATTTAATAAATGTATATTAATATTGATATAAATCAAGTTTAAAATTATTAATTACTTTCTCGTTTATATTTTCATAACTTTTATTCTTCAATAAGCACGATTAACGGAAAAAAAGATAAAAAAGATGTAAACGAAGAGTTTCTGTCAAAGACTTGAGTATCTCTAATATGCGAGGTTATGTATATATAAGAGAATGACGAATAAATCAACGATAGATAGTAAAGATTATTATCGGACGTATTTTTTTCATGTAAAGAATGTTTTTAATATTTATTTTGAATTTGTTAGTCGTTGATTAAAATAGAAAAACTGTTAGCGCAATCCTTGTAGAATTAAAATGTTAAACGCAATGTAGTTATTTTTGCTAATCACAGGAAGATTGTTTTATTTTATCTAATTTGGAAGTCGTTTCTTCATCATCCTTTTACGCAATTCTCCAGAAATGCACTAAGAAGTATTTCATATACTATAACGAGATGTTGTTGATATACAATTTGTAATCGTATATCAACGTCTGTCCTTTATCATAGACCTTGACAGACGTTGTTAAGAATGTCAGTCACGTCTGTGATCAGTCATTTCTCACGTGTCTGTTATGACTGTGATGTCTGTCATATATGTGTGGATTCAAGCTTTTATTCCTATGCTTAAACACTTCATTTAAATCATGTTTCACAAAACATAATATCAAGATTCATAATCGATGTTCAGTTATTGTTAAAATCAAAGAATATTTATTTATGAAAGTTTTATTTTACATTATTAAAAAGAAAAAACTATCATTAATTTAAAATGATGTTAACACTTCTCTGATTGTATATATGAACATTTGTGATTGTTTATTTTGTTTTAAAAAAGTTCTAAAAAAGAGTTTGAATATAAAACTAATGATTCTCTATAAGCGATGATGTTTCACAATACGTTGAAGTTTTTTTTCTCGAAATGAAAAATCAATGATAACAGAGCTCAGAGAAGAGCTAATAAGTCAGATACTTTTCTGAGAAATCACTTCATTGATATACTGTTTACCTCTAGGACAATAACTTATGTCAACAATCTATTAAGTAGTTATGAAAAAGGTTCATATCTTATTTTCTATTGATACACGATTTCTGATTAGCGTAAATTCACTATGCTCGTTACATTCGTCATTATTATTTAAAAAATTAATCTATCAAATGTTGGGTTGAATATTGATACACTTAGTAATCATGGTTGAAAATAGTTTGGTGTTGTTTAAGAGACAATTTAAAATTATCGTAGTTTGTATCTGATTTTGTGAATAATAATAATAATAATAATAATAATATTGAGGTATCATCAAATTTCAAATTGACATATATCAATAATGACAAAATATATATATATATAACTACAAATGAGATAAAAAGCAGTAATGTTGAAATAAATGAATCAATCTATCGGCTAATAACAAATAATAATACATTTTTTTATAAGTTTGATTATCTGAAACTACTGGAATTTCATTAATACGCCTGATAGAATTAATTGAAATCGATGTCTATCTAAGACTTTTCATCATAATCTATATACAAGGAAAAACAGTGGCAGTATTCATAATTAATTTAAATAATTAAATAATACTTGTAGATAAATTAGCAAGTTAGCATAACTTTTTATAAATACAAGACTTAACTTGCTTCATAGAAGCCATTTTCGAATATGACTCAGTTGTTTGATTATGATTGGTGAAATTCAAGCATACAGAGAAGGTCAGCATCAAGAACAATCATACTTAAAATAAGCTTCTACAGCTGTATGTTATCTTAAAAGATTCTCTAGTGAATTTACGAAAAAACTCGTTAATCCGGAACTTTAAAAGTTTCAGATCTACGTCTGAAACATTTTTTTTCTGAATCAACTGAACCTTTAAAACGTTTATATGCAATACCAAGCCTCTGAGGTTTAGTAAGAAATCTTTCAAGATTTTTCTTGAAGACACGGAAAAATCTTGAGAGGTTACGTACGTGGATCCGAAATCTTTGCGATATCGTACTGTCGATTTTTCTCGTAATTTCGCTGAAGAATTCTTGAGTTTTGCAGTAAACTTTTTTAGATTATGATTGTTCTTGACACTGACCTTCTCTAAGTTCAGTCACAATCTATAAAATCATACTGTTTTCGAAAATATCATAGAAAAAATATATAATTTTTGTCAATAATCTATTTTATTAGAAAAACTTTTGTATCGTAATATACAAATTTCATTTTCAATATATCTGAATATCTTTGTTGCCCATTTAGGCATAATACAATAAGACACAATCTTATTTTAATATAAATTTGATTATCACATTTTTTGTTTTCTTTCAGTGTTTAAATCTCATCTATACACTGATCTTATGTTTTGATAAAATACTTTTATTATTGATCACTTTTCACATACTTTCTCATCATCAACACCTATACCTGTTAAAATAAACGAAATTCATTCGACACACTTATTAGTTTCTCATCATCGTTATCATATATTGTTCATCAAAAGATTAGGTCAAACGTCGTCGTCTCTCTTTCTTTCTGTTCAAAGAAGATGCTCATAGTGTTATTTTAGTTAGTCTTAAGGGCACATATCATCATTGATGCGCGAGTGAATGTACTAATAGAGTCGTGTTCAATGTATGAGAAAGGAAATATCCCATATGTCAATTACTGTAAATATTGATACGTTCTCGAGATATTATAGAGTTATTGTATTAGATTTGTATTAAAGAAAAATAAAGATATTAATTTGATAATTGGTTTCTTGTTAAAGATACTATTATAAACTTGATAGAATAAATATTTCAAAATGTTAAGGTTTTTTATTTTGTGTTTTGATTTATCAAAAATGATTTAGATGCATTCCATTTTCGAGATCAAACATTTGTAATACTGATGTTGATTTTTATAAATGACTGCACCTTAGTATTTATCTTTCAATGTTACGATATTCGAACTTCGATCCTACTTAACGATAGACTAATTTTAGGCAATTTGTTTACGATAAATATGTCGAATCGTTTATTCAACAGAATAGTCACTGTACTAATGACAATCATCTCTTAGTCTAATATAAGAAGTCTGTAGCATAGAATATATTAGACTTGAAGACGATCGTAAATACCCAATACTCTTAAAGCATAGCTGAATTTTTTTCCTGTAAATTAACAACAACTTACAGATTCGGCAATATTATATAATTTAAAATCATATGAAGATGTTGAATGGTACTAATATTTTTTCTTCGTAATACTTGTGAAAGTAAATCCAACTTTTTTTTGTCCTATTTCATGTCATTTGATCGTTTTTGTTTATTGACTTTTACAATTTTTGAAAATAAATGCTACATAAGAAAAGCATGAAATAGACTTTTTAGAGTCTCGTACAGGGCTTTACTTTTCACGCTTTGAAATTCGATAAGTTGATTTCAATTATCTCTAGAGTTACTTAAGTATTATTGATTAATTGTATGAACATGTGTATCATTTTCAACTATCATGGCACATGATTACACAACATATTATTAGACTTATGTAAATCTTGTTTTTAATCTTTGCCTGTTTATAAAACAAATCATATGATTATTATTAATATTAAAGATCGATAAGAAAATCGTTTTCTTTTCTCTATCCATATTTAAGTATTTCTCAATCGACGATAGAGATTAAAATCCCGAATGTATTTCTATATTTGATATGATGTGCATGCAAGTTTGTGCGTGTTATAAGTGTATCAAAAACAAATTATAGTATTGTTGGCAAGTAAATCAATTCTTTTTGTTTCTCACTTTTCTACCGTTGTATATAAATGTATCGATCACGCTTCACGATCGCTAATTGCTCAAAACATTCCAATACTCATATATATATATATATATATAATGATTGAGAGAGAAAAGGCAAAGAAAAAACGAAGAAGTCACGTACAAACTATGATGAGTGATTGAAATAAATACACATATGCAGATTTCAATCTATGTCGATGATCGATCGTTTTTTGTTAGTTGATCAGCTGCAAAAGATTTCAATAAGAAAATAATGATCAATGTCGAGAAATTAGAATGAAAGAAAGTTAGTTTTATTTTTACCATAAAATTTTCTCGTATGACACATATTAGTATCAAAAATTTAGTTAAATTATCTGAATAAAATCTTAATGAAAAACAAACAACGGAAAATATTTGTTGCTTTGGTTTTTATTTATTTGTAAAAGATGTGACTATTGTTATAAATGGTTAATCGTTACAAACATTAAGTACATATAGAATCATCATACTTTCAATAAATGAACAAGGACAATTTTAATGATACCACTCAATGAACCATTGAAGAATCTTTCGTTTCGTTTTTCGTTGAACATTGATGTTAGTCATGATAGCGATCTCATACGCTTGATTCTGTCTTTCTTTTTTTTTTCGTATTGATTGATGATCTAGCTATCGTCACCATGTTTACACGACGTATAGATATTATTTTAATCGAGTTAGTCGCTTATCATATTCTCTTTGGATGTGCGTGTTCATAGAGGCGTGGTTTTACTTGTCATCGATACTATATATTTGCATGGACACAAATAAAAGTTGCGCGCCCTGTCATTTTAGTCGGCACGATAGCCCAAAAGAAAAGAGAAGGTCTCAAAATGATACTTCATGATAAGTTATAAAATAGATCAATAGAAAATATCAAATTAGTTTCGATTATTCTGTCAATAATAACATCTTTTTATGATCTATTCTTTCTTGTTTTAACATATGTGATAATCAATTGTTAACCTTTTCTGTTTGACTTGTTTAGTTTCTAAATGATTATTTTGCCTCATTTACTTTCATAATCGGTTTTCCAGAAAAAGAACTTTCTTATTTCTTTTGATGTACTAGTACATCATACATACATATGTAAAGAACTGTTACTCGTCGTCATCTTCATCATCATCATCATCATCATCATCGTGTATATTTGCTATCACAAGTATCTTTTTACATGATTGGTTCGACAAAACGATATATACGTCTCTCATTACATGAAGAAAAATAGGAGAGACAAAAAAAATGTTATTGTAATTGACCAATCGTATTAAAAAGAAAAAGAAAAGCAAAGAAGAGAAAAAGAAAAAGAAAGAAGAAAAGGAAATAATTTTTATATTCACTTAGTTATTTGATTCTAACTACTATAGCTTGATACTTGTCATCAAAACAACAGAAACTATAGACAATAGTCTTGATCATGAATTCCAATGATCATCAATTATATCTTTCATCACCTGATTCAACATGTTCAAGATCATCATCATCATCATCATCATTATCATCATCGATATTATTAAATAAAAAACAATCAACAACAATTAAATCTTTTCTTATATCGGATATATTAAAACCAAATTTTGGTCATCAAAATGAAAAATGTAACATTCCATTATCACCACCAACAACAAATGATTCAATATCATCATCAAATACAAATTTTAAACCTGGAACATTACCAGCATGGATATTTTGTACTCGATATTCTGATCGACCATCGGCAGGTAGACAGAAAAACAACAACAAAAACTCTTTATCAATATACAACACACATATTTTAGGTCCACGTGCAAGAAAACCCAAATCATGCGATACAATCGATTCCAAACGTCCACGAACTGCTTTTACTAATAATCAATTAACACGTTTAAAAAATGAATTTGAACGTAGTAAATATTTAACTGGTGAACGTCGACAAATATTAGCTAATGAATTAGGTTTAAATGAATCACAAATTAAAATTTGGTATCAAAATAAACGAGCAAAAATAAAGAAAACATCTGGTGTAAGAAATACATTAGCATTACAATTAATGGCACAAGGTTTATATAATCATACACCATCGAATAATAAAAACAGTTAAAAAACAAATGACTAGAGGCAAGCTAATCTTTTTTTCTATGTAAACTTCTAGTCAAATTCTTCTGTTTTTTTTTCTCTTTCTCTCTCTTTTTTTCTTCTCTACTATTATTTGTTGTACAGCGAGCAAAATATAGCAAAAGTGATTTTTATTTGTAGCAACTGTTTGTTATAATCGATCATTATTGTCGATGTAACAGGTATCATCATTGTCAGTCGGTACGATTGATTGAAGTGAGATTGTTTTATATTTCTATATTCACTAATATATGATTTGAACAGATCTTTTACTCTTGTTAATTCGATAAATATAGAGTAGAAATGTTGATTGCACATATACTCAAGGGAAATTTTAAATTGTAGTTTTCTTTTTTTTTGCTACTTCTAATCGAGCGATGGCGGCATTGAATGACTTAGCATATGAAAGTTTAATGATCATGAGCAGTTACAGCTAATCATTGCACGAACATAAACATTCATTTCTCTCTCTCTCTCTCTCTCTCTCTCTCTCTCTCGTTCAGGCAATTTCTCATCATTGACGTTTTTCTTTTTTGGTACAAAGAAACAAACAAAAAGATGAGCCGATAAAGAGGAGGAGCTTTTTTTTTAATTTATCTGATCTATTCAAAATAATGAACTTATTTTTTGATTAAAGAACTGCAAATTTAATTTCCAGTTATTCAATGCAAGAATGAAATACTAAGCAATTCATGTCTTAGATATAAAGGCTGCGTAGTTGCAGTTCCTTTGATTGCATATAACATATTCTTGCTTGATATACAACAAAAACTATTTCATACAGCTGAAGGTTTTACAATGTTCAATGATGAATTTTGTTTTTGGTTAATATAATGATCTTTTTAATTAAGTGAAAACTTTGAATTTATCAAGCATCGAATGATGAGGAAGGACGCAACAAGAAATAATTATATATTGACTTTTCTTTTCTGAGAGCAGCCAATAAATAGCTATAACATTGATTGTTTACTTATTTTTGTGTGTACAACGGCGAAGAAACCTCTAGTCTGAATCCATAAAAAATTAAACTCACACATCCTAGGCTTATGTATTGATTCAGTCATACATGAAGTAAGTAGTAAATATCTAACAATAAACCATCGATTTATTCTTTAGATAATGTATAAAATATTCGCATAAAACTCGAACTAATCAATAATATCAACAGATACACTGTCAATGTTATATTTTATTTGATATTAGCATTTAAATATTAATATTATAGGTTTTGAAACTTTTGAATAAAATATTTTGAGATATGGATTGACTAATGGGATGATTTCTTTATCGATTTACTATCAACTTTTTTTTTTATTTTATCTTCCCATGTTTACCTTGAGTAGGCAATATTACATTCGAAAGTATTATATAAAGTTTGACATGATTGATTAATAATATTAGTTTATTTATTCGGAGTCAATGTTTTATATTTAAATATAATCTATATGTAATCAATATTATTTATCTTATTGTGTTTCTTTTTTCGTTGGGTTTGATTTAATCGAAGTATCAATTACAAGAGCAAAACTATAAAAATCAAATGTCAATGTTGCAAACCAACAATAAATAATAATCTTACAAACTGTATTTTTCTACATGTAAAACTTTCCAATAAAAAAAGAAAACATAGACTCTATTATATCGATTAAATAGTTCAAAGTTGATTAATAGATGATAAAGTATAAATAAAAATCTTCAAAGAATAATTTAATAAGATAGAACAATAAAAGTCGATGCCATTCAACAAATTGAAATATATAAGTCTAAAAAAAGTGTTTCAATTAAAACTATTCAACAAGATAAATGTTTTATACATGTAATTAATTGTTTATACGATAATTATTATCTTGGTTTTTTCGAATCTGATGAAAAAACAATGAAATTAATATTGGATAGCACTGATGAAATCTGCACATTTATCCAAAAGAAAAAAGCGAACGAAGAATTATGTACACAAACTATAAACTAAAGAAGAAGAAGAAAAGAAAACTTTTGCATATTTACACAGAAAAGAAAAACGATAAAGAGAAATGCACAAATTTTCGTTCATATTTTTTCGCCATCATTATTCTTTAGTTTAAAAAAAAAAGGAAGATGAGAAAAGAAAAAAAAAGTTTATATCATCACTGAGAAAATGCAAGAGACAAACAAAAGTAAATAATAACAAGATGATACTATTGTGCATACGGTGAGATTTTTTTTGTCTTTTAATCTAGAAAATATGTGGTGCAGGTACTTTAATAACACCTGGTGCAGGTGGTGGTGGAGCTTTCGTTGTTACTAAAGGTCTTTTTTGTTGTTGCTGCTGTTGTTGTTGTTGTTGTTGTTGTGTTCGACTAGCAGCATTTGTTTTGAGTGATGAAGATGATGGATTTGTTGTTATTATTGAACGAGCTGGACTTGTTGATGATGAATTATTTAAGTCTTTATTATTATTAATTGATGATATTGATATTGGTCGAGATGCTCGTTGAAGTTTTCCAATATTAGCTAATGTTCGTACTTTAATTGTTGAAGAAAGATTTGAACCTGTACTTGTACCACTAACAGCTCGTGTTGCTGTTGGAATTGATTCAACAATAACAGACGTTGTTGTATTTGAACGATTAATTGTGAATTGATCATTACTTGTTAAACGTTCAATATTAATTGGTGGTAAACGTGTATTAGATTCTATATTTTGTATATTTGTATTAATTGTTGTAGCTGATCGATAACGAAATGTTGATGGTGTTTGTCGTATTTGACTTTGAGATGATTGTGGTGTTGTAGCTAAAGTTAATTGATGTGAAGGAGGATTAGCAACAGATATACCAATTAAAGATATTTGTTGTTGATTTCGTTTATCAAGTATTAAAGATGTTGGTGTTCGTTCATTTAGAGGTGGTGGTGGAGGAAATGATGGTGGTATTTGAGATTTTCTTGGTGATGTTGGAACATTTGTACCTGATCCAGAATTTGTTATACGTAATGGTGTAACACGTAATAGACCAGTTAATTTCATACCTGGTTCAGGTGTTGAACGTATTGGAAATGGTGGTATTTGTAATAAAGCACTTGTTGCTGCTATTGATGATGCTGTTGGTAATGAAAAACGATTTTGTGATAATGAACGTGGCGGTAATGAATATGGTCGTAATTTTGGACGAAGTTTAATAGCATTTCTTGAACAAATAAGTTTAGCATATTGTTGTAAAAGTAATTGTTGATCGGAAAGAAATAGTTGAAGTAATTCTGATGCTAAAGAATTTACAATACTATCTTTCATACATTTAATTAATAATTGTGGATGTTTAGAACGTAAATGATGATGACGATGTTTTGTTGATATACCAAGTGAAAAATCATTATTTTCATCATCATCTTCGTCTGTATCAAATGAATCAGCAGCTGTACCACTGAAATGATCATCTAATATGGTATTTGTAGCATCATCATCATCATCTAAATCAGAATTATTTGTTAATTCAGAACCTTCAATTGAATCAATCGATGAACGACCAGAAGCAGTATCATCAAGAAGAGCCTGGAAATAATTATATTTATTATTTATGATTAGTTTGTTCTTTTTGAGAAGAAAAAGAAAAATTTTCTTATAGAATAGTTCAATTTCATTTGAAAAATTTTATTTTTAATGAAAAAAAAAATTTGAAAGGTTTGTTCTGCATTTTTAATGTTATTATTCATTCAATTTTAGTTGAAATTCAAATAAGATGAAACGTTTAAATCGCCAAAAAAAAAATTCATTTCTGATTAACGAGTAAGAATACAAAATTCGATGATATTCTATTTTGTTTATTAACAATTTGATTGATATTCTCTTTTTTATTAATAATCAATGTCGATTTCGTACAAACTTGTTCATAATTTTTTATTCAATATTCAAACATCTATTTAGAAAAATTTCGTTAAAAGCAAACATCTCGAAATCATTCTTGACTTTTTTCGTTACGAACAAAAAAGAATGAATTGTAATTGAAGGTTCTGTATCTGATGAACTTTGTCTGCTCATGGATACTGATGTATTTAAAATAAAAAAATCAAACATTTTCTAAATTCAAATGCCATTGTCCTCTATTTATAGTTCAATTTATATTCTATCTATAGACATTATCAGGTCTCATTATATCGAACTATTTTTATACTAAGATAACAATCTGTTTAGATAATTATATTTCAACTGTCGATAAAAATAAAAGCTCAAGTATCAGTCGATAAAAAAAAAAATCAGGCATTTGCATGTCTATATCTTCCTAATATTTACAAAAAAATATATATTCACAATTTATGAAAACTCTATCTATGGACACAATGTCAACTATCAAAATCACAAGAAAGACGAACAAATTTTTGAATTTATTGAACAAGATTGAAATATCTCGATTATTCATTAGAACAAAGAAAATAGTAAAAAAAACGTCTATGCTAATATATAAATATTCTCATTAAAATGAGATTTTATAATGTTTATAGAATGACATGTAAGCTGACTATTGTATTCATAAAGTAACATTTTTTTGTTGTATTACTTTTAAATAAACATATTCTGAGCAAGTTGTGAACGCATTAGATATATATTCATAAGGTTTTTGTTTTTTTATCAACAAAACTTATTTTCTATGTACAATAAAAAAAACAGTATTCTCAATAATCAATGAATTAAGATTGTCTATATTGATTAATTTAGCATTTTGTTAGTAAATATTAGAAAAGCAAAGATTATGAATAAAAAAATTCCTTCCAAGCAACTACTTACATTTAATTCAGTTGAATTTAAACTAGAAAATTTTGGATTAGTGGCTAATAGATCAAGTGTTGATGATGTGGTTGTTGTTTCGATATTAGTGATATCTTGTTGTTTATATGGTTGAGCGAAATTTATTGTTGGCTGTCTTTCAATATGACTTAAACGACCACGAATTCGAAAATGTGGTTTACTTGACCATTCTTCACAAATCTTTTTAATAGAAGAACGTTTTGCTTTTTCTTCAGCATATAAAACAGCATCTATTTCTTCAAATTCTCGTCGTGAACGTCCACTTGTTTCACGAGCATCATCTTCATTATAACCTGACAAAAGACTTGAGCCGCTCACTGATTGCGAACACATAATAATGTGTATGGTTGCTATAATTTTTCTTTTTTTTTTTTTTTGAAAAAAAAAACACGCACAGAACAACTGACGAAACTAAGAAACGAAAAAAAAAAAGACAAAATAAAAAAAGAGAAGACAAAAAAGTTCATACGCAAAACCAGGAAGACCAGATCACATGGTAATATGAACGAAAAGACGAATAAATTTTTTTCTTCTGATATTGTTTGTTTTTTTCTTTGTTCTTTTTTTTTTTTTTTTTCTTGTCTGTCTAAAGTAAGAAACGCATAATGAAGTGAATAAAAGTTTGCAAAATAACAACAACAAATAGCTACTTCACAACAAGCAACTTATTGATGTTGTATATTTTCAAAGGAAAAAAATCAATGACACAAATATATAGTAGAGATAATCATTTATAACAAATCGCTTGTTCCTTTCGTCCTTGTTTTTTTATTATTATTAAAATTGGACATACTCAAATTCATTATTAGAAAGAGAGAAGGCAAAAGAGAGAGAAAGAGAGGAAAGAAAAATAACGATTTTTTTTTTTTTTATTATTCTTGCGTGAATATATTTGTCTCTATTGCCAGATTATAGATGACAAATGTTTACTCAATACAAGCAAGCCATTGTTATGGATCATTTCAGAGAGACTGCCAAGAATGCTTAATAATGTGAAATATTAGAAATAATCATAAAAACTTTTGAATTCAAATTATCATTATAAGACAAAAAACTTTGTTTGAATTAATGAAAAAACTTTGATTACTAAAATTTTTTCGATAGAGGTCGCCTAGAAGCATTATTCTCTAGAAACTATTTCATATTCGGAGTTGAATGAGGCAATTTATGACAATGGTATAGAAAATTTTTTTCGTTCAGATTTCCTAAGAGCTATAATTTGAATGCAAGTATTCGCTTATAATGCTTGGGCATAAGTAGGATTATTTACAAAATTGCAGTCTTTTAGATATTATAAATCGTTGCATGTTTTTTACATTCTTTACACTATCATGTCCAATATGACTTTGAACTCCCACCGGAACAGTTTTGCACTATGACTTTACATGTAAGTATAATCTTTCTATCAACAACAAAGCTCTTTATGTGGTTAAACTGGCCTGCGTCCGGATGTTCAAAACTCACCTCACAGTCTCTATTAATTAGTGAACAATCTAGTACTTTGCGAAATCTTCTTTACATTGAAAGAGCTCTAACTTATATCGAAACTGATGGGTGACTACTCATGAGAAAGAAGTAAAAAAAATATGACAACGCATAATACCTGAAAGCCTGAAATTTTGTACATAATTGTAAATACGTCTAAATATTATAAGAGAATACTTGTGCTCAAATGATAACTTTCAGAAGACCTAAACGACACTTTTTCTAGTGCTCTATATACTTGAGGATGATACAATCCTTCCCACAAAAGAAGATCACTAGTTTTTGTTTTAATAAGGATTCAAGCCTACAGTTTTAACAGAGGTCTTCTATTGTGATCCATTCATTTCTATAGTATTTCATTAAATAGATTCTTCAGAAAACTGAAAGGATTTCGAGGATTAGAGAACAGATCAGAAATTATTTTAAATTCATTCTTCTAACGATATTTAGCTGAAATCTAGGCATATTTTGTTGTAATTATACGAATAAAAGTTTCAGTTTTGCGAGAAATTAATCAAAAAAAGGTCGACTATTACGCGCGACCCAATGCTCTTTCTAAGGGAATCTTCTATTGCATGGAAAAGTTTATCATCGATAGCTTATGTAATGTTCCACATATTATGGCTCTCAAAATGGATCCTATACCTAAGGGATCGGATTGTTTTTCTAATATCTCGAGATGGTTTCAACATATAGAGTTAGCAGAATATGCAGCCTTTTTGCGTTTAATGCACGATCAATTTTGAGCAATATCGAAGCAAATCAGTTTTAGTATTTCTATTCACGCATAGTAAGTATATAGCATAGTGAACTAATATTTCGAGCCGATAAATTGTGCAACAGAACTTCAAAAGTAGCCAATGGTAGAAAATTGTAAATTCTTGGTAAAAGAGTCTGTTTCTAAGTATTGGTCAATAGAATGCAATATAGCGTGCAGTTGGACAACACAATAGTGAGGGTAACGGTGAACTCTGTGATAAAAAAAATTTGGATTGTCGGCATTCTGCTTCAGACATTTACGAATATAAGAAAATACGATTTTTTTAGTTTCTCTTCGGTTTTTTTTTCATTATTTCAAGAAGGTGAGATTTGCAATTGTAAACATAGAATTCTCATTTGATACACAAAGCAGAGGCATATTCATTCAAGAAAGTCTGCTCAATATTGAGATAACGTTCATTTTACGTCTTGATGTTATACCTTACCGTAAGACAGAAAAAAATAAGTAAAGAATATATTTTTCTCATTGCTTGAGAACCACTTTAGCGTTGACTGTAGTGTATACCGTACCAAATTAATTTAACCATATTTTCATATTCTGGTTCAAAAGTGATCATACCGGCCTTGGTTGCATCTCTTTTGGGCACTCGAAATTCTAACGAGACTGCTTTTCAATCCATCCCAAATGTTCTAAAACAATAAAGTTTATCGAATATTTTTCCATAACAGTTCAAAATGTGATATCATGCTCATCAAATACAATCGACACATATTTAATGATGCGTCGAAGAATAGTGACATAGACGAAGAAGTCAATCCATAAATTTATGTTTTTTTTTGCTGTCAGTTTGTGTAAGAAGAACAGAAGGTTTCTAATCACTTTTATATTACATGATAGACCTAATATGAACATTATCGCGAGATTGATTGAATCTTCTTGACTCTGCCTCATGTATCAAATGAAAAATCTATGTTAACAATTGTTAATTCAATTTCTAGAAGTAAAGAAAGAACTTGAGGACAAACTGAAAAAAATTATTTTCTTACATCTATGTGACAACCAGATTTCTGTCTAGGAACCCCATGGACCCGAACCCTTTTAAAGTTTCTTTAGTATCGCTGAGTCTTATTCATGGACAAAATATGGACTCGAACGACGTTCAACGGTTGAGTATGTTTTCTCGTTAACTACCAAACCGTATATGGTCACAATTTGTCAATTGAAGTGTCATACATTATATGATTCAACGGCAAAATAATCAAAATGCATTTCTTCGAAATATGACGATTAATAAGAGAAGAAAGCAAAATTTCACATGAAAATATAATACTCTCTCATTTCTTTCTGATAGGAAAACTTTTTATCGTTCGCTTTCCTTTTGAAAAAGTAAAGGAAATTTTTTTTATTGAGTTTTCCTATTCTTTATGAAAGCAAAAAGACAAAGGTAGAAATACCTATTTCTATTTAACATTCTTTTTGTTTCATCTAATATTTTTTAAACTAAAAAAAAAAAAAAAGTCAAAATAAAAATGTCTTGTTTCAATATTAAGTTAATAAAGCTTGTCGTATATGTAAGTCAAGTAAAGAATTTTCTTGAAAACGAAATAATGTTTGCCCATGAGTAAATGATGATTCAATATAAATAATAACTGGCATAAGAGCAATAAAATCTAGACGACTTATTTTCCTTGTTTTAATCTTTGGCATAACATATTCTAATTCATTTGATACACGTTCAATTTTACTATTTCCTATTCTTTTTCTAATAAATTCAAGAAGTTGTCCATAACCTATTGTTTCACTATTGGATAAACATTGATTATTAAAATCTTCTAGTAATTCAGAAATATTCTTATGATAATAATTAAAATCAACATCATCCAATAATGTATTCCATAATCTTGAACTATAATATATAATAAAATTATGTATTTGAAATATAAAATCTTGTTAAATTTACTCTTGTTTAGCTACCATTTCAACAATAATAGCTGTTGCATAAAATTCTTGTAAACCAAAATAAGTTGTACCACTTATTATATCATATAGCTAAAAAAAAAATCAAATATGATGCATATGATTTAGCATATTGAGATTTAACTAACCACACGAAAAAATGTTAATTGAGCACGAGGAAAACTAGATGGTAGACATCTTTGTACTTGTGGATAGGATATATGTCTAAAAGATTAGTTGATTTTTATAGAGAAAAATTTTTCTACAAATTTACCCATCTTTATCTGTATCAAGTTTATCAAATAAACGTTTCAATCGATTACGTGCTGATTCACTGAGTAATGAACCCACATCCATATGCTAAAATATATAACATTGATTAGTTATTTCATAACAATATGCCAACCTGAAGTGGATGATAACTTTTCGTTTCTTCTTCAGGTTCAATGCCTATAAAAGTATTCGATCGACTGAATAGACTTGAAGCTTGTGGTGATTTGCATCTTAATATGGCTTTTTGTGTGAGATTTTCTTTAACTACATGATCGTTCATGGTTGGTAAATGTAATTGTACAGTGATTGGTTTAAATAATTTAGGGAATGAAGATTGATTTGTATCTGTTGAAGATGGTTTTTGACATGATCTTATATTTAAAAAATAAAAAAAAAGTTAAGAATAAAGAAAATATAAATTATTAAATTGATCTTACGATAAATCTTGAATATTAGGTAACTGACTTGAATTGAGAACTGCACAAAACAAAATCATTTCTGTCGTATGTCATATAAAAAAAAAACACTTATACCTCTTGTTGGTATTTTCTTTACAATTCTTGGTAATTTAACTACTGGTGTTACATATCGTTTTTCAGTACCAATCAATTGTTGCTGTCGTGATTTTGATTTTCTTATTATTGCCATTGATGGATTAAATATTGGATTTCTCTGCGTTTGTTGTATCATGATCCTTTTCTTAACAACAGGAGCATTTAAACATGTTTTTTTTTGCTTTGAAGACATTCTTTAGTATCCTTGCTATGCCATCTGTTTTCAATTTAATGGGCTTAACATTATGAATGAAAAAGAGAGAAAAAGAAAACGAAGGTGTACAGACATTTCATTTTTATAAAAGAAAAACAGTACAAAAAATCACTTTCATCAACTGAATTCAATGTTGATGATTTGAAGAAGTAATCGAACAAAGTAAACTAAATGAAATAAGTACATGTTTGAAGAAAGCTTTCAACGGCCGAAGGGCTGGCTACTGGGATTCATTGAATTTATAGAAAACTACCGGGTTTACCTAGACTCATCTATTGATATATTTTAACTGAATCAAAAGAGAGCTATAGTTCTGAAAAGTCAGCCTTTACTCTCGGTTGATTGCTGACCTTAAATATTGTTCTCGTGTTCATCCTGAACTAGATACCTACCATTATCACTCTTGTTTCTTTCGTTTGATGATAATATTAATAGTGTGATTTACAGAAAAAGCTCACTGATTCTCGGAAGCTGCTGTTCAAGACAGAATATTTCTCAATTCAAAATTATCAAGTGATTCATATGATGAAGAATGTCTAAATAAAAAAAAAAAAAAAACTTTCCACCATAATTAACGCCCAAGATCATACATAAGAAGAATGAATACCTTATAAGTATTGCAAAATGCATTCCAATGGTTTCTACACATGTCTACATGACTTTCAACGGCAGTCAATGATTCAAATAATACAGCTTTATTTTAACTAGGGTATTTTTTATTAATAAGTCATATAAAAAAAAAACAACAACAACAAACATCCTACAGCAATCATTCATGGTTTATGTTTTTCATCTTTTTTTAATTTTTATAATTGCTGCATGATTTCAACGACATCTTCTTTCTTATAATTTTCTTTATTATTCAATGTTGATTTTTCATTATTAACAATTATATTTCCATCAATATCAAATTCTTTTCTTTTCGTTTCTTCTTTTTGTTTTTTATATTTTCTTATTTGATTTCGTATTATTAAAATAATCCAAAATGGTTTTGTTGTTAACAAAGAAACAACCATTGGTACAATAATACCTTGTGTTGCATATGGTTGTGGAAATGAATACATTATAATCATAAATGCAATACCAACATTCTGTATTCCAGCTTCAATACCAATTGTTTTTATATGTGTCCAACTCTGACAAGATATCCAAGCTAAGATAGCACCAAATAAAAAACCTAAAAATGGTAATAATGGTGCTGTTAATGCTGTATATAAATCAATCATTCTAAATAAATACCAATTCACAACTAAACCAAATGTAAGAAAAAATAATAACAAAAATATCATCATTGGTTTAATAAGTCGTTTTATAAATGGACGTGTAGCAGGATAAAAATGGCTTATAGCAATGCCAATACCATATGGTATAACAACAATTGCTAATGAACGTGCAAGACCCAAAAATGGAACAGTGATTGAAAGTTCATTCATATAAAGTCTACCTATTGTATAAAAATAAAGAGGCATCATAAAAAATGATGCAACAGTTGATACAAATGACATTATAGCAGATAAATTAACATCACCATCAAATACAACTGTCCATTGATTTGAAGCACCACTACCTAAAATTATTTTTATTTCTTTCATAATAATAAAATTCTATATTAAATAAAAATATATTTGCCTGGACAACAACCAATAACAAATAAAGCAAGACTATTTAATGGTGTATAATGAAAAATTTTTGCAATAGCCATTGCTAAAAAAGGCATTAAACCGTATTGAGCAACAAAACCAACAAGAACTGGTGTGGGTTTTTTCACAATATCAAGTATTATTGTTGGATCAAGTAAAATACCCATTAATATTGAAATAATAGTAACTATAAATGGAATAATAATATAAAATAATCTATCAATAAGACGTTTTGGTTGTATTACAAGAACATTTAATGACCAGATACGTGATAATGACGTATCATCATCATAAAATATATCCAAATGAAAGATTAAATTTGTTACACCCATTGTATTACCTTTCATTGACCATAGAATATTAATATTCGGATCATCGTGTGAATTTTGATTAAGATGAATTAATTTTGGTGAAGGATACGCATTAAAAATATGACCAAGACTATTTTTACGTGATACTAAAATGAACAATGTTCAATTTCACCTATACATGAATATAGAGATGCATATAACAAAAAAATAGTTTCTAATTTTTCTAAGAAATAATTTCGTTAGTATATACATCATTTTTTATTAAAAATCTTTTGTATATTCTTGAGTAGTCTGAATTCATATCAAGGAAAATCAATTCATGCGATAACTTCTTAAGTTCTATAAAATTGTCCTGTAGATTATAGATAGTAAAAATCAATAATAAAGTACAGCAAAGTTGTTTATTTATGAAAGTGAGTTTCACCATTGTTCTTATCATTGAAATGTTTTCATACAGAAAAAATGTTTTTTTATTTGATGACGTAATCTTTTGATGTGCTGAGTACTTTAAAGTCTTTAGATATCTTTTCTAATCTTTAGTGACAATCTTGATTCTTTACAAATTAACATAAAAGAATATTATTTACTTATTTTTCATCAAAAAGAAAAAGATAAAATGCCATAGTTATTCAAAAGCTTGCTATTTTCGTTTGATCTACATACATAGTCATGCTGATTTTTATTCAAAATCAAATGATACCAGAAGTTAAATGAAAGTATACAACTGTTTTCAAAAAACTTTGTCTATATTAAGATCTTTTCTTCGATCGCTCAGAGAAGTTATAAGCGTCATGCTTTTAGAGCTGACTCTTCGATAGTTACACTATATAACAAGAATAGAGAAGTGTGGCTTGTCTTATTTTTAATATATATTTATATGATTATATTATCTTCTTCTATCTCGAAAATTTTATCATCTATCAATTTTATACTATTGAAATAAAGCCGTAAGATTTCGCTACGTTACTCATCATAAAAGAAGTGTTCTATTAAAGACTATCTATGACGATAACAACAGATTAAAAAAAATCGTTGATGGTCAAAGACATTCAATTATATCCTTGTAACCTGAAAAAGTAAATTAATGGGATTATATTGCAAAAAAAAAACGCTTCTCTTCTATTATACATGGAGATGTAATTTAAATGACTTTTATTATGTTTAAATGCTTGAAAACTGTGTAGACTTTTGCAGTTACATGTAAGCGATGAAAAGAGCGATATCGCCTTACAAAACCTTCAGCAAGAGTGGCATCTCTAATGAAAATATGGCTGATAACGTATCATTCATGCCAATCAACAGTTCGTTAATATTAATGCATCATCAATAATCGAACACTAAACTAATGTCTTGGGTTTTAACTCCATAGGGATCATCTTCGGTCAATCATAAAATATAATACTGAGAAAAGAAATTGAAAAAACAAATGGTTGAACTTCAACATTTTTTAGGTGAAAAAGTCAAAAATGTTAACATTTTTCTTACAAATAACTTTACTATATCCAAGAAAAAAAGATGTTTGAGTTTTATTTCTTCTAAACGCCAGAAAAAAGGAAATATCAAATATCAAATTATGGTGTGCTATAGTACTCTTCATGGGTTATTCATCACACTGTAACTGTAGAAAACGTTATGCAAATTCTTTTGAAAATAGTTGTATATCAATCTTTCGCAGTAAGTAAACATTATGATCGAAACGTAAAATCATCAACAACTGAAAAAAATGATCAAGTTAAAATAATCTATATCATTTATTTATTGAGTCAACATGAGTGAAAAAGATGACAATTGAACGGTCTATAATAGCCATTTGTTGATAAGATACCTACTGTCATTTTTTTCAAATTAAACGAAATCAAACGGAATTAAAGTTTAATTCTCTAGAAAACAGTAAAAATATATGGAAAAGTTCATTTTCGAGACTAGTGTATAATGAATAGATATGTATAACAGCCTCAAAGAAAACGCTCTCGAGTACTTTTCAGCAGCCTTCACATTCTGGTTAGAATTATATTACCAGTTCTTTCGGTACATGAAAAAAAAATTCGCCTCTCGTACACCTTTGAGACGGTCTACGGGAATTTCGAAAACTATTTTATTTTGTGGAATCAGATAATAATCATTCACATCGGTAACGCGTGGAATGCTGATCACAGTCATATCATTGAAGTTCATTGCTCATCGTAATCTAGCAGTATGTGGAGGATTCTTTCAATAGAGAATTGAAGGATTCATAGCGAGTCTATGATATCAAGAGGTGAACTCTATAACAGTAAAATTACCATCAATAATGAATTTCAATTATATGACTGTGATCAGTATTTCATGTTCTATGGATATGAATGATTATTGTCCGGTTTCGCAAAAAAAATTGCTTGGTCAAAAGAACCGACAATATAATTGTAGCCAGAATGAAGGATCCTGAAGTGTGTGAAATTGTTTTGTTTAAAGTTGTTTATCTATCTATTGATAGCACAAGCCTTGTATAGTCTCGAAAATGAACTTTTCAACTGTTTTCTTGAGAATGAAAAGTTACATAAAATAATAGTAGATATCTTTTCAACAAATAGATATTATAGACTACTGAATTGTCACTCATAAATTCATGTTAGCTCAATAAATAAACGATGTACAAATGTTGATGATTTCTCTTTTAATATACTGCATGAAGAATTTCTTTGACTTGTGGAAGTATAATCCTAGTAGACAACTAAATTTTTTGCTGAAAGTTCAATTTTAGCATATTAATCTTTCTGAATAATAAGTTTTAGTCTCTAATATTTACTGTACAAACTGATGTTTTGTGGGAATTCTGACGATACCTACCTTATCAAGACCTATGAACATGAAAGAAAGTCGGAGTTGAATTTGGTTCTAACTTTGTTTGGTATCTGGTTGCTTCTATAAGACATTGCCGAAATCTTCAAGATGCATCAGTTTGTACAGCACATATCAAAGAACAAAACCTAGTATTTAAAAAGCTCTTATATTACAACTGAATTTTCAACAAAAAAATTAGTTGATTCGGTGCAAAGCTCTTTAAATAAGTAGTGCTGAAAAGTCTATCAAGGTTAACTTTACTATAAAACATCTGAATAAGCTAAATATTTAAATTCAATGGTTTTAGATGATGATCTTTCTACTGCATATAAAAAAATCAAAAATTTAACCAGCGCTTCAAATACTAAGATGATGTTCGATATTCTCATGGAGCATAACTCAACGAGGCAAATTATTCAGCATTTTATATTTTAGAAAATCAAATAATAAATCTCTTAAAAAAACGTTTTAAATGGAAAATAATATTTTATTTTTGTTGTTGTTGTTACTACTCACAGATATATAAATCTTCTATTAGAACAGTATCTGAATTGTTAAGTTTGGCAGTTTCTGGTGGTATCATAACTTCTTTTCGAAGATTGATGAATTCAGGATGAGAAGATCTTATTTGCAATTTAAATCCAATTACATTACTATTGTCGTATTTATTACGATGAAAATCATTTGAATCTGTCTGTATTGTGATATAACGTGTTTGAAATAAAGGTATTTCATACGATTTATTATGAACCGATGCTAAATAGTCAATATTTTGATCCTTGTTATACTGTGTTTCATTAATAAATATTTTAAAACCAAGAACACATTTGATGATTGTCAGGAATAAGATGCAACATTTGAATACTTGTCCTTGAATCATTCTTTTGACTAAATGCGCTTCAGTTTTTTTTTGTCAGTTATTTATCATATCATGCTCGTTATACTTTATTTGTCTTCAGTTCTTATTATAGAACGAAACAAAAAAAATATCACAGATATGAAAACAATCTCAAAATACAGATTGACAATACGAAGAGAAAATAGCAACATGATGATATACTAAAATAGCGATGATGTCCATATAAAGAGTATAAAGATTTGGCCGTTTTCATTACAGCCAATTAATATATGCGTGTTAATTATAAACGAGAGATGTCGTACAAAATCAATTTGCGATGTGTTCATATATTCGGTATGTATATGAAATAATTCTTTATTCGATGATGTGACGGAAAAAAATTCGATAATCGTTGATGATTTTACACAACCATTATGAGTAGATATTTAATTCGAGTTCGAAAATAAGTCAAACTCTTCAAATTTCATTGGCACCACCGTAGCCACAGTTAAAGATATAGTTTTTATCTCACTTATAATTATATTTCGAACAGAGACTGTTCTGTCTAGATTACATAAGAAGAATTTATATCACTGTACACAGAGGCGAACATTGACTACAGCTCTTAGGAGGGTACTATACGCTCCCACGCCGATATAAAAAGTCGGTTACCTGCCTGAAACAATTTCTGCACAATTAACATCACACTAAAACCGTTGTCGAGGAAATAATTATAATTCCGATAAAAAATTTTACCTTGGATTTTTTTACTACTTTTTTGAGTTTCGCGTTGGTTCGAATTTTTTAAATTTATTTTCAAGGTAACATTATGGTTTCAGAGCTTTATTTATATTCGAACTTGAATTTCACAACTCATGACATGAGATGCTAGAACACATTTTTTGCTCAGCTCTTCCGGAAGCTATAATTTAAGCGTAAGCATTCTTTTATAATGCTTGAATATAGTTATGATTATGTAAAAAATTTCAGTGTTTTAGGTGTTATAGATCATTACATTTTTTCACACTTGTCACACAGTTATTTTCAATATGACTTGGAGTTCTCACCGAAACAGTTTCGCAGGAAGTACTTCAAGTGATTAATCGCTTTTGAGTTCAAACTCTGTGCATAAGGTAGACCCAAGTNTTTACTACTTTTTTGAGTTTCGCGTTGGTTCGAATTTTTTAAATTTATTTTCAAGGTAACATTATGGTTTCAGAGCTTTATTTATATTCGAACTTGAATTTCACAACTCATGACATGAGTTATTTTCAATATGACTTGGAGTTCTCACCGAAACAGTTTCGCAGGAAGTACTTCAAGTGATTAATCGCTTTTGAGTTCAAACTCTGTGCATAAGGTAGACCCAAGTGAGGTATGAAAAAACCTATAAGGAAAAGGCCCACAGGTCTTCTGTCCAAAGTTATGGCCATTTTAGTGGAATTTTAGCCTAAAGTACGGTATACACTAACAAATCAAATGAAGGTATATTTACCTGAAATTTTCAGCTAAAAGAAATGTTTCCTTCACAAGATATCGAGTTCCCAAAAATCATTCATAATCCATGAAATATGCGGGTCTCATATCTTTTTTTGGAAACTCGATATCTTGTGAAGGATACATTTCTTTTAGCTGAAAATTTCAGAGCATTCCAGTTACAAGTGGACCTATCTGTGGGTGAAATTTCAGATCGAAATACCTTCATTTGATTTGTTAGTGAATACCGTACTGTGGGCTAAAATTCCAGTAAAATGGCTATAACTTTGGAGAGAAGGTCTATGGGCCCTTATCCTTTTAGGGTTTTTCATATCTTACTGGGTCTACCTTATGCACAGAGTTTGAATTTAAAAACGATTAATCACTTGGGGTACTACCTCGTAAGCTATAAAGTACCGAAGTTATTCGTATGTTGACTACAAACAATCATCGGACATTTGTTTTCGTTTCATCATCACATAATTACAAATTAATCATAAATGTACTATATTTGGCCAGGTATATAATAATGGAAGAAATAGAAAGCATGTATGCTGATTTCTCAAACAATAAAACATTGACATTGTGAGAAGATATTTGTAAAGTAAGCGGTAAATTGAGTGAGATTATACAATGTAATGAATACGATATATTTATTTTTCTAACCTTTCATTATGTGAATAATGTTAACCTGAAAAGGGCACTTCTGTATATCTAGTCTTTTTCTATTTTATGATCCATCTTAGCATTTGAAACTTATGGTTGCAGTGTCTTAGAGGTCTGCGGGACTGTCCCGAAAAGTTTTCGGGGCGGGACAAACGGGATTCGATACTATTTAGAAAAAGTCGATGTCCCGAATTTTCTGAATTTTGCATATCGATACGATTCATAAATTTAAGACTTCTTATATCTAATAAATATTTTAATATTTAACTAAATAACAAAAAAAAATTGCAGAAAAAACTACAAACAAATACTTTTGGACAGTTCATTAGCGTTTCTTTTTATTAGTTGTTTCACTGCTACTATTATTTAGGCCTATCGTCACATTTAATTAGTGTACTCTGCGCATCAGTCAGTGTAAGCATGAGGACGACAGTGTACTCAAGCTACAGTTTTACCCCAAATTAATCTCTTTTTTCTTAAAGTTCGGCTACAGACAAATAAATTTTCGTTAATGTTCCAATATTTCATTTGATGAATAGCAAATTATTAATTTCATCTACACCCAAACGTGTTCCTCGGTCGATATTGTGCTGCGAATTATATTAATTCAAAGATAGCTAGTTCATATAATAGATATCTAAGTAAATACAAGTTGTCTTTTGATGGTATAGAAAATATGTGTTCTTCTTTGACAAAGCGATATTTTTCTATTCCTTCCGATCAATGGGACTAACGAAATTTTATGGGACAATTCGAGACAGGACATTCGGGATCGGGGCATTTTGAAAAATCACTTGACAGAACAAACGGAATTCGGGACACGAGAACGTTTGTCCTACAGACCTCTACAGTGTCCATAAAAGTATTTTTGTGCATATTTTATTTAGTGGTACACGATAAGCTGATAAAAAGATTGAATCTGATGAAAAATATCCCTATTAAAAGGGGAATGAAAGTGTTAATTAAAAATATCGAAAGGTCTAAGAGCCGCTAAGATCCTGGTATTCGGAATTGGCGAAGTGAACTGCATACAGTAGTGCATGTTTCAATGAAAAAGCGATTGATGACTTGAAGAAGTTTCCTCGTTAGTGAAAAGAAAAACTTTCTGCTGTAATTAACATCCAACATCATGCATAAGAAGAACGAATACCTTTTAGGTATTGGAAAGTACATTTCTACGGTTTCTGCACATATCTAAATGACCTTTAACAACACTTCATGATTCAAATAATATAGCTTTATGCTAACTAGGATACTTTTATTAACTAGTCATATAAAAAAAAATCTCAAGCCTATGAAAAACAGCAGAAAAGTCTAACTAATTAATTATTCATTGTTTATGTTGTTCAGTTTTTATTTTGTTTTTTATAATTGCTGCATGACTTCAATGTCATTTTCTTTCTTATAATTTTCTTCATTATTCAATGTTGATTTATCATTGTTAGCATTTATATCTCCAACAATACTTAATTTTTTTGTTTGTTGTTTTAGTTGTTTATATTTTCTTATTTGATTTCGTATTATTAAAATAATCCAAAACGGTGGTGTTGTTAGAAGAGCAACAATCATTGGCACAATGATACCTTGTGTTGCATATGGTTGTGGAAATGAATGCATTATAATCATAAATGCAATGCTAACATTCTGTATTCCAGCTTCAATACCAACTGTTTTTACGTGTGCCCATTCTACACGACATATCCAAGCTAAGGTAGCACCAAGTAAAAAACCTGTAAATGGTAATAATGGTGCTGTTAATGCTGTATGTAAATCAACCATTTTAAACAGATACCAATTAACAACTAAACTAAATATAATAAAAAATAATAACAAAAATATCATCATTGGTTTCATAATTCGTTTTATTAATGGACGTGACTTAGGATAAAAATAACTTATAGTAATACCAATACTATATGGTACAACAACAAGTGCTAATGAACGTGCAAGACCCAAAAATGGAACTTTTATTGAAAGTTCATCCATAAAAAGTCTACCTATTGTATAAAAATAGAGAGGCATCATTATAAATGATGCAGTAGTCGAAACAAATGACATTATGGCAGATAAGTTAACATCGCCATCAAACAGAACCGTCCATTGATTTGAAGCACCACTACCTAAAATTATTTTTATTTCTCTGGTAATAAGTAAATTCTACATTGAATAGTATATATTTACCTGGACAACAACCAATAACAAATAGAGAGAGACTATTTAATGGTGTATAATGAAAAATTTTTGTAATAGCCATTGCTATAAAAGGCATTAACCCGTACTGAGCAACAAAACCGACAATAACGGGTTTCGGTTTTTTCAAAATACTAGTTATTAATGTTGAATCAAGTAAAATACCCATTAATACTGAAGTACTAATAACTACAGCTGGGACGATAACATAAAATGATTTATCAATAATACGTTGTGGCTGCATTACAAGAACATTTACTGACCAGATGCGTGACAATAACGTATCATCATCATAGAATATATCCAAATGAAATATTAAATTTGTTAAACCCATTGTAGTACCTTTCATTGTACATGCCACTTGAATATTCGGATCATTGTTTGAACTTTGATTAAGGCGAATTAATGTTGGTGAAGGATATGCATTAAAAATACGACCAAGACTATTTTTATGAGGTACTAAATGAACAATGGCGAATTGTACAATTTTAACGATACATGAATATAGAGATGCATACAGCAAAAAAATAGTTTCTAATTCTTCTAAGAAATAATTTCTTTAGTATATACGCAATTTTTGTTAAAAATCTTTTGTATATTCTTTAGTAGCCTGAATTCGTATCACGGCAAAATAGTTCATGCGATAACTTCCTAAGTTTCACAAAATTGCCCTGTAGATTGTAGATAGCAAAGATCAGTAATAAAGTGCAACAAAGTTGTTTATTTATGAAAGTAGTCTTTACCATTTTTCTTATCATTGAAATCTTTTCACACAGAACAAGTCTTTTTCTACACGTGCTCTCCTTGTGCAATGTGTACTTTAGAGTCTTTAGATATCTTTTTAATCTTTAGTGACAACCTCGATTTTTTACAACTTAACATGAAAGAATATTATTTACTTATTTTTCATCAAAAAGAATAAGAAAAAAAAATGTCATAGTTATTTGAGAATCTCCAATTTTTATTTGATCAACGTCTGCAGTCATGCTGATTGGCAATTTGATTTTTATTCAAAATTAAACAATACTGGAAGCTAAATGAAAGGATATATGACACTTTCAAAACAAGCAAAAATTATCATTGAAAATTTAATGTTTTTTTCTATAGAACTTTCATTCATTGGGAACAGTGTCCTTATACGCTAAAAGTCCAATTTGCAACAGTCTTATTAATTGTATTCCCATCACTGGTCGATGTCTAAGAGACTATGCCTTTATAATTAGAAACATCTGAGAAGAAAATTTGATACTAATTGGACAACTGCTCAAGAAAGTTCCTATAAGAGGACTGCAGAATCGGAGCACCGATCAAAATTTTCATTTTTCATTTTTTACATGCATTCGAAAGCACTAAACTCAAACTTTTCGTTCATTCTAATCTTCCCTGATTCCGTTAACCTTGATAGATTTTTCAGCACTATCTATTAAGGACCACGAAAATAGTGATTAATTGTCTACTGGGATTATATTTTCACAGATTAAAGAAGTTCTTCAAGTGATCAATCAGTTTTTTCTTGAAACATACAGGAGTGTATGTAGTTAACTTCACTGATACCGAATGTCAGGATCTTACCGATCCTTAGACCTTCCTATATTCTGTATCCTTACTCTGAACACTCTACTGATAAGAGTCTTTCTCATCAAATTCAACCTTTTAATCAGTTTCTCATGTACCACTAAACAAAATATGCACAAAAATACTTTTTTTTATAAACACTGCAACTTTAAGTTTCAAATGCTAAGATGGATCATAAAATAGAAAAAGACTAGATATGCAAAAGTGCTCTTTTCTGGTTAATATTATTCCCGCAATGAAAAGATAAAGAAATAGTTGTATCTTATTCATTATATTACACAATCTCGCTGAATTTACTACTTGTTTTGCAAATATCTTCTCATAATGTCAATGTTTTACTGTTTGAGAAATTAGCATACATACTTTCTATTTCTTCCACTATTATATGCTCGGCCAAATATAGTACATTTATGATTAGTTTGTAAATATGTGATGATGAAACAAAGACCTAATGTCAGATCATTGTTTATAGTCAATATACGAATAACTTCGGTACTTTATAGCTTAGTAATTGAAACTTAAGGTCGAAGTGTCTATAAAAAAGTATTTCTGTGGATATTTTGTTCAGGGGTACATGATAGACTGAATAAAAGATTGAATTTGATGAGAAATAATTTTACCAAAAGGGGTTCAGACTAATGATGCAGAATATAGAAAGGTCAGTAAGACCCAGATATTCGGGATTAGCGAAGTGAACTACATAAAGTCATCTATATTTCGATGAAAAAGTGATTGATGACTTGATGAACTTTCCTTGTGAGCCAACATTCGTCGAGAAGATGACAAATTAGCATTCTAAAATATCAATTTCTTGATAAGATATCTTCTGATATTTTTCGAAATTAAACGAAATCAAGCTGAATTTTTAACATGTTACATAACTTTTTATTCTCGAGAAAATAGTAAAAAATACATATTAAAAAATTTACTTTCGTGACTATATTACGCTTCTACAACCAGTAGACAGATCAGCAGCTGCAAAGAAAACGATTTCGGGTATTTTGCAGCAGCCTTCATTCTAGCTAACATTATGTCACCAGTTCTTTCAAAATACGAAAAGCAAATTTCAATTCTCGTACACCTTTGATGTACTATGGGAATTTCGAAGAAATACTTTATTCTTGCGAAATCAGTTGATAATCATTCATATCAATATAGCATAGGGTGTGGATTACAGTAATATTACTGAAGTTCATTGCTAATCCTAATCTAACAGTAGAGGAAGGATTAGAGGGCTAATGACGACGGTATGACATTGAGAGGTCAACCTTATAACAATAATTTACCATTAATAAAAAACTTCAATTATACGACTGTGATCAGTATTTTATGCTTTATCGACATGAATGATTATTATTCCATTTTGCAAACAAAAGATCATATTTCGAAATTTCTGAAGCCCCCTCTGGGGTGTCACGGATCGAAATTTTCTTTCCTCGTTTCGAAAGAACTGACAATAACATATGGACTTTTCTGAATAAGAGGTCTTGTTCTTTGATAGTTACTGTACAAACTGATGTCTTTTGGAAATTCCTGCAACGTCTTTTGAAGGCCAATGGACATGAAAGAAAGTTGATCCTTACTTTGCCCTAACTTCGTTTGGTGTCTAGATGCCTCCAAGATGCATCAGTTTCTACAGCACATATTAAAGAAAAAAAACTTCATATATTGAAACTAGATTTTAAACAAAAAAATTAGTTCATTCGATGGAAAGCTCTATAAATTAGTGCTGAAAAGTCTATCAACGATTAATTTTACTATAAAACATCCGAATGAGCTACATATTTCGATTCAATGGCCTCACATGATAGTATTTCGAATGGAAATTAAACGGAGTCCCAAAATTTGTAATTGAACCAGTGCTTCATATCATTAAAGTGATATGAGCAGTATTCTCATAGAGCATCTTTTAACGAGACAAATTGTTCAACATTATATATTTCAGAAAATTAAATACTAAATCTCTTAAAAACGTATTAATACAAAAATAATATTTTTGTTTTTACTACTCACAGATATATAAATCTTCAATTAGGACAGTATTTGAATTGTTAGTTTCGGCATTTTCCGTTGGCTTCATAAATTCTTTTCGAAGATTGATGACTTTAGGATCAGTAGATCTTATTTGTAATTTAAATCCAATCACATTACTAATATTCTGTTTCTTATGTTGAAAATCATTTGAATCTACTCGTATTGTGATATAACGTGTTTGGAATAATGGCATTTCGTACGATTTATTAGGAAACGTTGTTAGATATTCAATAGTTTGATCTTTGTTATACTGTGTTTCATTAATAAATATTTTAAAACTATGAACACATTTGACGATTGTCAGGAATATGACGAAATATTGGAGTACTTGCCGTTGTATCATTCTCTAGACGAAATACCCTTTCTTTGTGTGCCAGTTATCTAACGTATCATGCTCTTTATATTTCATTTGTCCTCAGCTTTTATTACAGAACGAAACAAAAAAAAAATATAGATGTGAAAACAATCACAATACAGAATGACAAAAAGTCGAGAGAAAAACAACATTCATAAACTAAGATAACGGTGATGTCCATATAAAAATTTGACCGTTTTCATTACAGCCAATTAATCTATGACCATTACGTGTAAATGAGAGATGTCGTATCATTAATTTCGACTCACGATGTGTTAATATAGTCGGTCTGTATATAAAAAACTTATTATTTCACGATGTGATGAAAAAACTCAATAACTTACTGATCAGGAAGTGTGGTCATATTCCAAATGAGTATTGAACCATCGCGGCGACCAATAGCCATTAACTAGAAACGAAGTAGACTTTATTAATTTTTTTAATTTTTATTTCCCAAAAATACTTTTCGAGTAACTGATAAACCAAGTCGAACATCGAATATAATATCGGCTTTTTCTGTTCGATGCCATCGAAATAAAATATTCGGTTCTTTTTCTCCGAAACAAAATTTCCAGATGCAATAAACGTGATCAGCGGACTTTAATAAAAAAATTCTTGTTTCTCTTGTAAACACTAAAAACAAAAGACTAACCTTGCTAACAATAATATCGTCAGTAAACCATTTAACGGAATCAACATAATGTTCATGCAAAGTACTTGAATGAAATGCCGAAAAATAAACATGATGTGGTGTTGATAGTCTAAATAATTAAACCCAATAAATCAAATGTAGACATTATAAAAGATACTTAGAACTCATTCATAATTAATAAAATCTTTATTTCAAACTCGATAAAACAGTTATTGACAGAATCTCTCTCAAGGTGTTAAATCGCTTTTCGATCGATACGATGTTCATTTCCAGAGTAATCGAAATGTTGACAATGGTTTCGTTTTGGTAGCTTTTATTCTTCAAATAACATTTGGCTGGGTTTAAACAAAAAAAAGTATGGTATCTTTCACGTAGAGTGGAGCGGAACCAACAAGACACGCTCTACTTTGAAGTCACGTGGAGAAACCACTTTTAGCTTGAAACTTTGGACAAGCTAATAAGTTCTGAAGATTAGTTGATTATGCAAGTTTTAGATTTTTTGGACAAATGAATGTGTTGTTCTAGTACATTAGAGAATTTCGAATATTGAAATTGGAGATACTAGATAAGTCACAACTTATCAAATCAATTGATCTAATCAAAAGCTAGATTCGTACAAAGTTTGAAGTCGAAATACGATTTTACACGTGACCTAGGGAAAGTACAGAATTATTGAGTGAAATTCGAATATCTCGAGAACGAAGGCCCACAAAGTCAAACAATTACACTTTTGTATTACTCATCAAAATGAACATTGTCTTGATCAAAGAGCTATTTCATACCGGAAAAGGTTCTCATGTTAATTAATTCTTCGACTACTATTTGTAGGAAGCGAACGACAATTATTTTTGTCGACTTTTAAAAAGTTTGCTAATGCTTTTCGGCTAAATGAAGATTGCCTCATTTGAAAAGAACTATATGAAAATGATCAATACTTCATTCAACAGTTACGAACATCAGATTAGCCCTTCCGAAGTCTTAAGTCATTTTTTTGAAAAAGAAAGTCTGAATTAAATACTGCAAATGATTTTCACTGATTATTTACTACTAGTCAATTTACATATAAAAAATTATTTGAATCTAAAATCTTTTATTTTTACCTAAATTCGGTAAACAAAGGTCCTCTTTTAGCTATAGCCATATTTTCCATGATTTCTTTATCTTGTGTCGACCAAACACAAACAATATTATCTAAACCACCGGATACGATGTATGTACCATTGAAATTGATGTCCTGTATAAAAGAAAATGAAAAAACTTTGTTTTTATACAATTTGATACAAACCACTGCAAGAACGCCTTGTTTATGTTGATCAGGTCCAACATAACTCGCTAAACAAAGAGCTGCTTCAGCATCCCATAAAAGAACTGCATAATCTAGAATTTGAAAAAAAGTCAAAAGCAAATTTTCAATGAACTAAAATTAATCGAAACTAACTAGAACATGCAGAAGCCATCAATGTTGGTTGTCCGCCAGCAAATGCAATTTGATTAACACTACCTAAATGACGAAGCTAAGAGAAAGAGATTTGTTTAAAATTTATTTTTCAATTTTACAAACCGGTTTCAAATGACATTGACGAGCAACATCAATAATTCTTACAACACCACGTAATCCAGCGGCTGCTAATATTGTCGTATTTCCAAACATGGTCCATTGACAATCATAAAAATATTCCTTAACCTACGTATATTAAGATGAGTAACTTTTTAATTTATTTCAATACGATTTTTTCTTACGTCTGAATCACAATAACTTTGAATTAGCTGAACAGATGATTTGCTATCGATGACAGTATATTTATAAATACAAACCTAATGTTATACAATAGTATAATCAATCATATTAAATATTGTACGTACTTGATTTATAGCGCATGTAGCAAATAAAAATGCTTCTTCACTTTCATCTGGTAAAGCTTGTTGACAAATACTAATACCATAAATTGTTTTTTTATGACTCTCCTTTTATTTAAAAACAAGAAAATTTTTTCAAAAGAAAATCAATCGTGATGATTTATGAAGATATTACCGTAATAATATGTTCACATTGAAAATTTTCTTCTTCATATATTTCATCATCGCTACCCATTTCTCTCCGCTGTTTTTTGTCTATATGTATATTATCTTACAGGATGATGTTTGATATAGCGGCTATATATAGAAGAATAGAGTTGACCGCTGTGTGTATGCGAAAAAAAAGAAAACAATGACCGTCCACCTCTCTTATTCAATATGTGTAATAGACGGTCAAATCAGATGAATAAGAGAAAATTTTGTAATTGCTTTAGATGGTTTCTTATTTGTATAATATAGAAAAATTATTCTAGTGTTTCACTGCAAATTCTGTTGATACGAACGAGTTTTACAAATTTCTTTAAATAGAATATTGAGATATTATCACTTCTTTTTATTTAAGTAGACGAAACTGTTTGTAAAAACTTGATTATATTATTGTTGATAGTTTTTGTTCACTTTATTGTATTTATACAAAACCTCGGAGATTTATTATTTTGTACATAGTTGGATAGAGTATTGAATTATTCAATCGAAACATACTTTTTATTTGATATTTTTTGTCTAGTAATTATGGCATCATTTCGTGTTTAACTTCAGCGATGGATAAGTCAGTGTTTTTTCGATCATAAATCATGTCAAAACTCAATTTCAAGTATCTTTTTTTTTGCAAATGTTCTATGCATCCTGAAAAGATCAAAATACCAAAGTTTTCATTCTTTACAAAAGGAAAGTGAGTTTATAATAAAGTTCTATAATATTGTAGAAAAAAGAAACAGTTCTTGTCACTATGCCTATTCTAATGAGAAAAGTTCCGTAAGTGATCAATCACTTTTTCATGGACACATTCATTACCGTATGCAGTTCGCTTCTCTGATTCCGAATATCAGGGTCATACTGGCCCTTAGGCCTTTCTATATTCTGCATCATTACTCTGACTTCTCTTCTCATAAGAGCATTTCTCATAAAATTCAATCGTTGATTCACTCTACAGCGTACCACTAAACAAAACACAGACGGAAATTTTTTTTTATAGATACTTCAACCTTAAGTTTTAAATACTAAGCTATAAAGTACCAAAGTGATTCGTAAATTGACTACAAACAATTATCTGACATTTATTTTCATTTCATCATCATATATTCACAAATTAATCATAAAGATAATATATTTGATCAGATATATTACAATGGAAGAAATATAAAACATGTATGCTGATTTTTCAAAATATAAAACATTGACATTGAGAGGAAAGATTTGCAAAATAAGCGTTAAATTGAACAAGATTATATAATATGATGAATACGATACAATTATGTATTTATCCTTTCATCGTGTGAAAAATATTAATTTCAAAAGAGCACTTTTGCATATTTAGTCTTTTTTTCTATTTTATGATCCATCATAGCATTTGAAACTTAAGGTTGAAATGCCTATAAAAATTCCTCGTAAGATATAACTATGGTAATACTTTGTTTTTACTTCGCTCAGAGAAACAAGCAGATTTGATGTTCTTATTTCAGGGAAGAAGCAAATCAAAAGAGCTGAAGCTTTTGCCATGAAGTAATCTCGCTATGGCCTGTCTCTAAGCAAAGTTTCAAGACAAAATTTGAAATTCAGTTCTCTTGATGGTCTTGGCGAGGATCACGGTGTTGAATTTAAAAAATACCGTACAGTGTAGTATCTCCGTAACAATAAGACACGGGTATGAATTCTTTGTCAAGACATTCACAACTCATTTGGATCTACTTTAAACACATACTCTTGACTCAAAAATGATTCAACAATCGGAGAATTCCACTCGTTTGACAGCACTTATTATTGAAGCTACGACTTGGACATGAAGGTTCGCTGAACTTATTTTCTGTTAACTAAAAAGTTAAATGATTTCAATCACGATGATATTCTGAAAGCATCGTATCCTAGTTAAGGTTACAATCAAAAAGTATATTTATTTTCTCCAAAGAATACGAAGTAAAATGATGCGTCTAAAATAAGGAGATCATTAGACAATAATCAAGTGATTGTTTTTCATAATGGTACAAAGCCAACGCTCTCATGTGGTAATGATTGAATAAAAAATTGCTTTAATTGTACCATTTTACAGCAATAAACATTAGTAAGTCATGAACTTGAAAACAAGAATAAATCATTAGTGTCCAATTATGATAGAGCAGTATCACAAACGAATTAGCTTGCGGTCAAATAGGTTATCAATCAAACTGAAAAAAAACAGACAAAAGAATTTAAAACAAATGCATCTCTAATTTTTCTGTATTTGTTCATTCTCATATTACTTTGAAATAAAAAAAAGTTTTTTTTCGATTGTAACTTTAATTCAGATAATATATCTTTTCCTAATATCATTGTTAATGAATTTATTTTTAATTAGTTTAGAATAACTTTGAAACGACATATATATACTGTCATAAACGATAAATATAAGATGTTTGACAATACGGGAAAATTCAAACACGATAATATAAACTTGCATACCATTGTTTAACTCAATGACCTTATGATGACAATTCTCTGCCTTGTGTCCATATGAATCATTATGATTGAAATAATCAATACTCAAATTAGTTAGACTATTCAATGTCAATGAAAATGTCCAGGCAACAAATAGGAACAAATTAAAATAAAAACTAAGTGCATTTCAACAAACAATAAGTTTGATAAGACAGTTTCACAAAACAGACTCATTTGAAAAGTTGCATATGTTAAATTAATTGTTTGTCTTGCATATAAAAATAAAACGATGAAATATACTTCGGTCGGGAAAAACATACAGTTTTGTAGAAGATTCAAAACTGAATATTTTGACAAAAAAATTGTTGTGAAATATATCGAGAAAATGTTGAGATCACTATTTATTCTGCCACATCCGTTACTTGACAAATTAATTATTAAGAAATTCCGTGGAAAACAATACATTCATATCGTTGCATTGTTCATGGTTCTTTGACAAAAATAAATGAGATGCACTTGAACAAAAGAGAGATTATCTTGTTTGACATATCTTGAAGATTAGAAAGAATATGCAGTGCAATCATTCTTAAATGAATACCATCAGGATTTTTGAAAAGTGTTCATCTATAGGAGATGTATTTTCAGCAAAAAAAAAAAAATTGCTACATGGAACTGGGACTTCGTTCAAAATGAGGAGTATTCACCCATCAGAGCTGTTAATGTAGTTACATGCAATTAAAATGCTTCATTGACTTCTACCTACTTTAATATTTTGATTAATTTAACAGTTTTCATCTTGCAGAATATCAACATTACTAAATTTGGATAAACAATACTATGAATACGATATAGTCTCAAAGTATATTACTGATGTGAACACAATTATTTCTTTTCATTTAATTGTATTCTGACTAAGCACTTAATCTATTCTATCTAAATAGGCTATGATAAACATTGAGTAATCCATTTAATATATTTATTGTTAATACCGATTATTGCTGTTAGTTTATTTCAAAAAAAAAATAAAGAATTTTACATAAAATATTTTTTTATTGAAATTCAGCGAGTGGAATATTGAAACCGTGTTCTGCGGATGTAAAAATATAGTCACTAATTTTAGTTAACATGATATCTTCGATTTGTCGATTTATTTCATGAGTAGTTTGAAGTGTTTTTTTGCCCAACGGACTTGAATAAAAAGCGAGAAGTTCAATAATTTCATCTAATGTATAAGATTTTGCATATAATCGGATAAGATCAGAAACATAGGCATTAGTTGAAAACAATTCATCATATAATACTCTCATTTTTGTATTATCGGTTGGTGGATCAATTTTTAAAAATGATAAAAATCGTGCATACTCATTTTCAATTCCAGTTAAACTAAGTAAGTGCTTAATATAATCTTTGATATTAGTTGATGATGATGATATATGCGTTGGTTTTCCTTGAATCAATGTAATAATCATAAGTAAAGCAATTGTAAATAGCATTGAGCGCATGAGATGCATGGTGATACTAGAATAAAAGAAAAAAAAAATCAAACTAATGAAAGATAACTCAATTCATTTCATTCAAATGAATGCTTTAACAATATAGAAAAGAATATACTTATATATGATCCTATTAATATCTACTAATACTGAATGGTTTTTATGCTAGATAATGAATGAATTAAATGATATATATATATATATATATCAATGAGAAAATGAAATATTAATAGAAATGTAAGAGCATCGGCTTGTGAACTAATAAAATTACATGAAAAAGAAAATTCTCTTTTGCTCTCTTTTCTTATTCTTTTTCTTTCCTTCTCCTTCCACCTCATAGCAAAAACTTCAAATTTTGATTCATGCCATTCATTTATCTTTTATCTAGAGCATTTTCTATTCCTTGATAATTATTGTTTACATTATGAAATACTAACTAATTCCAATACAATAAGAAGTCGTTGTGAGGATATAGCGTAGAATGAAATACATGACTAGTCTTACTACAACTTCCGTTGACGATGCTTACAGAGTTAATTTATAGCTCTAATCATGCTTATCCCACACACAATACATACTTATATAAAAGAAACAAAAAGAGATAGATGAGCATCCTGAATATACAACAGAGAATGATTAAGAAAACAAAAAATGCTGATTTCAGTAAAATAGTGTTATTAATATGGGTGCACGCATATATGACAAACAAAGAAGATATTCTATCAGTTCATACGTATACGTTGTAATCAATATTGGATTTCAGTTCAATTCTGAATTTATTCAGAAAAAGCTGAAATTCTATTTTTAACCTTGAAAAAAAACAGTTCGAGTCTGAACAAAAAAGAATTTATTTTCATTTTCCAAAACTTTCTTTTTTCAATATGGTAAATTATTGAACATTTATTCAATTTAAAATCTTTTAAGTTGTATGTTCGTTAATTGACAAGCAGACGTTATTAGCGACGTTCTACAAAAAAATAATATTCATCTAAAAAAAAAAAAAAGCAGAGTTTTTTTTTTGTTTGATTATGTGCCATTCTAAGCTATGATCGTAGAAAATATGAACCAATAAATAGACTGTAACATATTCGAAAAAAATAATTTGTAAAATGAGAAAAAAATCCTTGTTATTTACACTCCAACTGTCTACGACTTGATCTATTAACTTCTAGTTTAATTCAATTTACGTTCAGACAAAGGTGAAATTCTTTTGTCTCTTCACAGAAAAGTTGATCAAAAATGGAATTTTGCTTTTGTTTAATCAAAATCTTGATTTCAATATTATCCAGATAAAGTTAGAAATTGATCGTTAACATTTATATAGATTTATAAATAAAATATAATGATAAACAACTAATATCAAAATGGTATTTATAAAAAAAAAAACAGATATGTTTTTTAAAATATTTTTTCTTTATTTATTCTATGATGAATGTATTTAATATTGTATTAATTCAAATTTCATCTTTATTTCGACATTTTCATTATGATTCTATTTTCCAATTTTACTTATATAACATCAACGAACTCTTTTAACCGACATAAAAAGAAAAAAAAAAGCGTTTGTACTGAATTAAATCGATTTTTATTTTAATTTAGTTCAACATTTGAAAACCTAAATACTTAAGTTCTCAAGTATCACTTAAGTACTTAGCTGTTTATACTAGTTTATCGAAAAAATTTCGAACAACTTATGTGTCAAAAAATATCTATGAATTACTTCGATAGATACCATTCAACAACTAATGGTTACATCTCTTCTCAACTTCTATAATATCTTATGCATTAATGATAACAAAATACTTAATAGTTCATTTTATTTTAAAATATTCAAAAACGTAAGTGGGCTAAAGAAATGTTTCTCGAGAGCATTTCTTTGTTGTTCTATAAAGAAGTATTTTTTTTTTTAATGATAAATGACAATTGTGTTGTGTATGTATGAACAAAAGATTTATGAGTATCATGAAAAACAATATTATGAATGATAATTGAAACTATGTTTAATAATTCCAACACAAAAGATAAGCTAATAGATTTTATGATGTTATCTAAGTAATTATTCCCTTATTCTTTTCATATTTCTTTATTAAAGAATATTGTTCTAAGATCTTCATTTGTTAAATGTAAATGCATAGGATGTAGAAAGGCGAAGTGATCACATTATGATTAATAAATTATTATCAATTTTCTTTTATAGTAATAGTCAATTAAAAGTTTTATCATCTATAAAGTAATACGATATTATTCATATGTGTATAATTGATTTGAACAAGAATAAAACAGGAGGAGTGTGACACACAACCGGAAAACTATGATTCATGTAGAGACTTGCGGCTTCCAAATAAATGGAACCGAGCCGGAACCGGAATTTAACAGTTTCTCTTACCCAAAATCGGAACCGTGAAATAAAAGAAGACGGAACTGGAAGTGGAACCGTTGGAATCGAAATTTTTTTTTTTCTAATAACTAGAGAGTTGTCAAAGTGTTGAATCATCTGAAATCACAGAGATTAATCGACGATTACACCAATGGTAAACTATGCGGCTTTCTCACAATCAAATAGAAAGAGAAATAAAAAATGGCTAAAAATATGATTTAGATTTTTCAAAAAAAAAAAAACAAGAATCACTTTTTCAGGAGAGGTATGGTTAAATACTCCGATGTGCACTTTCATAATCGGTATGACTTTGAGTCACACCCGTTACACTAGTCGTAAGAAGTGTCGCTATCAGGTAAAACGTACAATAGTTAAGACCATAATACAAAAGACGTATAATGGCAACATTGTTTTTTTTTCCGTAGAATTCAAAAAGAAGTTTTTTTTTGACACTTTTTGATTTTACACTGTTTAAGTGTGTTAACCTCCATTTTCTTATTAAAAAATAAAGTTTTGTGTATCTTTTGTATGAGACGGTCTCAGTATAGATCTCTTTCTGATTGATGGCTGTGATCATGAAATTTCGAGACAAAAATTGATTGAAGAAGAACACTTATTGGAGAAAATGTCAAGGCTAATGGTTAAAATTAGCCGGAAATATAGGTCACTTTTCTATGATTCACATCAACTGTCATGTGCAGATTATTCAAAGATTATTTCATAAGTCAGAAAAACTAATGTTGTTTATAATGGAATTTTTCTTGATGATAGAGACAGCAATGAGCTGTCGAATGAGAGGTCTAAAGTCATAGAATTTGTTTTCTGTGTTGCGATATCCTTGTCTGAAGAAAAGAATCTATGTGGACCTTCTAATTCCTCCGCATGAAGACTGAAGAAAACCTTGCAATAAAAATTTTTGCGAATACCATTGTTTTGTCTTTTTTTATTATTTTTGAGTTCTATAATGAACATGTTATTCATTTATTTCCTAATGTAAAATAAGTTTTATATGCTTTTTTCATTTCTTTTACAAGTCGAATAATGAACTATGAATGACTTGTTAAATACTATTAATAAATCATTGCTAGTTTATTGAATGTTTAGAAAATTTTAGCTGAAAAAATAAAATAAATCAATGTTTTCATCATTTCAAAAATCAAAATACAGATAGATATAGAAAATTAACATTCAAATAATTTAATGAGAAATGTATTATTGACAAAAAGGAATGCTAGAGGGAGAAGTCAGTAGTTTGAGTATAACAGCTTCGCTAGATTGTAATATTAAATTATTTAAATTAATTTGATTTCCTTCTTTGCCAATTAGAGAATCATCAAGTACATTACATGATCTTGCGATTACTTCTCCGAATAATTCTTTATCTTCACATTTAAGTAATTTAGCAAAATCACTAATAACTGGATTATGATCTTTCTTATTCATATTGATAACAATTAAATAAATATTTTTATCAAACCAACGTATGAAAGCATATAATTCTTTCGGAGTAATTACTTTCTTTTGATGACTGTCATAGAAAGGAGATTGTTGACGAAGTTTGATTAGTTGTTGAAAAAGTTTAAGATGAGAGCGTAATGCACTTTTTTGTTGTTCAACATTTAATTGAGATCATGTATCTGATAAAGGGAGAAACGGTTTAGATTTGGAAAAAGTAAAACCGGCATGAACTTCTTGACTTGTCCATTGCATAGGTATACGTTGACGATCACGTATCATTTTCTCAAAATATTTCTCTCCATAATTAAATGTAGTCATATCAACAATCTCATCACGGTTTGCAAGTGTAAATGGACGATCACGCATATCTAAAATATTCAAAAAGACACATAGAGATTAGTCAAATAATGTTACAGTAATCGTAAAAACTATCTAAACTTTAGCCTTTTAGTCTCATAGTTTGACTACAAATAAAGAATGTTGAACGATGATCACAAAGATTTGATTACGCAGGAGCTAGAAGGTCAACATAGATTTTTTTCCTAAAAAAAAAAGGAATCTCATGGTTTTAGATCTCCCACTCGATAGCTCAGCGCTATTTCTATCATCACTAAAATTAGATGACAAACAATTATTAGTTTCTCTGACTTATAAACTAATCGTAGGATAATCTTCACATGAGAGTTGATGGGAAACAATAAAAAAATGATCCATATCTCGAGGTAATTTTAACCATTAGTCTTGAAGTTTTCTCCGACGAGTGTCCTGATTTTATTAAGTTCTCTCTCGAAAGGCTCACAATCGTAGCTATTCACAGAGAAGAGAGTCATACTGATACTGTCCCAGAAAATGAAGGCTTGTCTGCACCTCAAGATTACAACGGATGGAAGTATTCTATGTGTGACACAATATATATATATATGCGAATTTTTGTTTGTTAATAAGAAAATGGATATTAACGCATCTATTAAACAGTGGGAAATTGAAAAAGTGTCTAAAAAGGTGAAACGTTACGTACAAATTTTCCAACTTTGGCTCATCTTCTTTTTTTTTTGTTTCAAAATCTAATTACGTACCAATTTCATCTCCATAATAAATTAATGATGTGCCAGATTGTAGAAGAATTAACATATAAAATCCATTAATAAGTTCTTTTGATGGAAGACATGAAGTAACTCGATGACTATCATGACTACCTAAACACCAATTTGACCAAGCATAATCGGATAAATTTGATTGCCAATCAGATAATATTTTATCTAATTCTAAACCATGTTTTTCATCTTCATCTTTATCAAGATAATAAGTAAAACAAATAATTAATTGCCACATCTGAACCATAGTCTTCACGATTATCACCAAAATATCGTATTACTGTTTTTACATCTCGAATATATGCCTAGAATTAAAGAATATAAAAATATATGTTATTTTATAATTATATCTACCTCTGTAACTAGAACAATATAATCACGATTATTTTCATATACATATTTACCTAAGAATTTTCTCCATCTTCGTACAAGTTCATAACTACCTGGTTGATCAGCTGATTCTGCATATATCACATTTGGATCTATATCTTTTGTATCTTCACGAAGAGGTTCATCATGATATTGATCATTTTCTATTAAATGACGTACAGCATCAGCACGAAATCCATCAATACCCAAATCAAGCCAAAAACGAAAGATTTTTTCCATTTCATCAATAACTTTTTCATTACGAAAATTTAAATCAGATTGACAATCAAGAAATTGATGTAAATAATACATATTTTGTTCAGGTGAATATGTCCACATATGCTGACCTGATGAACCAACCCAATTTGTTGGTAATTCTTTTCCATTATTTTTACCTTCATGTCATATATAATAATCAACATATTTTTGGATCATTACGAAGTGCTGCTTGAAACTGTGAATGTTCATTTGAAGTATGATTTGGAACAAAAATTAATAATAATTCACATTTGACGAAAATGAACATCGTCTATTAATTTACAAAAAACCATCTAATGCACCAAAACATGGATCAATATCATAACCATAATCTTTCCATGGTGATGTATAAATTGGTGTAAGTCAAATTGTTTTAACACCTAACATAAAATAAATAAAAATAAATGTTTTCTCATTTAGAATTACCTAATGATTGCATATAATCGAGACGTTGTCTTAAGCCCTGCATATCACCAATATCATCATTATTTGAATCTTGATAATAAGCAACTACAATTTCATAAATAATACCACGCATCCGCATGAGTTGCCTAATTCGAGTTCGAATATAAATGGAGAGCTAAGTGCTTACCATAACTTCGAAAATAAATGAAAAAACGATTTAAAGTATAAATTCACATGCATGTCAAACTTGAAAGTCGACTTCAAGTGTTCAACTATTCCAGAGAAACATGGAGGCGGGCTAAGAGAGAACATGGGAGGGCTAGGCAAAGACAAATCCCACTAAAGCGAGAATCCACTGAAGGAAAACGCCTTTGCCCGAATAGCTAACCATTTATATCAGCGTCGCGGCGTGGAAGTGCTGCGCGCCCCCGAAGAGCCGCGACCCATGCACGTCTTTGTGTGCACCATCACTTCTACTAAGTGCTGCACGGTAGCTCAAGCTTCTCACATACTTCTTGTAGCATCCCGGAGAATACCTGCCAATGTTTGGCGATTCTGGTAGTATTCCATGGGTGCCTTCGAATATATAAATTATAATTTATATAAAAATTTATCTTTTGCTTCTTTGCTATTTTAACATGAGTGCGATTTTTTTTTGAATCTTCCATTTATATTCGAAGTCGAATTAGTCATCTACTGCGCATCCACCAATCTTGAGATTCATCATAGTCTGTATGAAATTGAAAAAAGTTCAGGCACAAATACTTGACCTTGATTTATCAATACATTTGTTAAATTAATACTTTTTTTAATTTCGTCAGATGTAAATGACAAAGACGATATAACAATTTTACCCTTACCATAAGTCCCTAATAATCCATAAAAATTATAACGTCGTAATTCAGATGTATAACAAGATTTTTTGTCAATAATAATAAGATAAGCTTCTTTTCCGTAAAACGAAAAAAAACTAAATAAAGTATCTGTAATCATAGCTGGTTTGTAGTCACCAATATAATATCAAACGAATCGAACTTAGTTTTCTTGAGTTCTTCTATTGACGTAATATGTTTGACATCTTCAGAACGAAGTGATTCAAGTGAAGCTAATAAAAACAAATGATCCTCGTGCAATAGAAAGAGACGGTGATAGCATACTTATATATAAATAACAATGAAACCGTATTATAAATTACAATTGATTAACTGATTCAATAGCTGGTTAAAGCAAACATATATTAATACTGCGCATTGAGAGATCTAGGGGTCGCTGAAAAACGGGTTTGTTTTATATTTAGACCTATATGGTGATTCGAGTTCAAAGATATATCTCATTTTTTGGAAGAGAATAATAGTAAGTACTCAGAGTTTTGTGAATATACATGTATTGAATAGAATTGCAATATGAAATTATAGAAACTTCGACTCAAGTTTATAAATGATTAATATCGATTTTGAGCTTCTTGCAAAAGAACTTGAAGTAGTTTATATTTCTCGTCGACAAGTTTATTTCTATAGAGCAATTACAGTATTCTATGTAAGAAAATGGTATTGTTTATTTGAATTTTATTTCGTAAAGTTTCTATACTGTCATTATGTGTATAGAACGAAAAAAGAAAAATAATAGTTCTGTTCGACACACTATTTCTTCTAGTATGAAACCGAATAGAAAAAATATTTTTTTAACATATTTAAATCTAAAATCATCTCAAAGTGTAACAGTTATTGTTTCGTATTAAATGACAAAAAGATTATTGTAAATTGTACGATGATAAAGTCTTCTAGTGTATGCTCAAGAAAGGTAATAATTAATTACATTTAAATATTCAATCATAATTACGATTAACAAATGATAAGTTATTCAATAGTTTCTATCAATATTGATCTTCTAATGATTCAATTAAAGAATATTATACATTATTTGTCTATCAAACATAGTCTCTTAACCAAATATACAAATCATAGCGCCCTCTTTTGATGTTTCAAGTAATTCGTAATTCTCTTCTGCGATATATTTATTTTATTTATTTCTCTATGAAAGTTTTGTTTGGTAAAGAAAAATAACATGCGTGTATCATCAATTGGAAAAGGTCTTCGACAAATTCCATCACCACGATCTCGTTTTTGTGAACATATATCAAATGATGACGATAAATCTTTTTCTTGTCGTCAAAGAATTTATGTTGCATGTCCACATTGTCAACGGTCGCTATGTTTATACCATATAAATGAGCATCAAATGATAATTCGATCATTATTTGATTCTTTAGTAAATCGTTTAAATGAATATCGATATGAATTAACAGTTACACTTTCAATTCCATCAACTAGTCAAACACTTGTAAATAATTGTCTTGATGAATTTAAAAATATTATTATTCCATATGTACAACGAACATGTTGTCAAAATGATGTTAAACAAGATGATATAAATCGTATACAAATTTTTATTGATAAAATGCTAACTATTATTCAACATATTCATTTCTATTGGGATAATAATAAGAAAGAAAAACGTTCCAGAAGTTCTTATGTAAGAATAACTAATTTCAACTATGACAAACGTGATACATATTCGTTTATGAAAGGTCTAGGATGAATTTGAAGATTTCTAAGATATTTCTGCATTCCAAATTATTTTGTATTAATTTTCAAACATAAAATGTCAGCTTTCTCGAATAAGCATCCGATTCTTATATTTCATGCTATCTTCGAATGATATCCTAAGAATTGTTGTAATATATTTATCTCAACCATGTTTTATTTAATATCTCGGGCGCGATAAGCTTTTTTTTTTTTTTTTCAATTAAAACAGGAACCGAAACGAGTATCAAACATTACCATGCAAAATGACTGAGTGTGGTATTCTATTGAATTAATTATTCTTTCTACTACAGAATTTTCTGTTTGATAACAGATAACCAATGACTGTAACTTTCGAAAGTAATCGAATCGGATATTTACCTAGTACAGAATCTCGAGATATTGTAGTTTTTTGTTATATCAGACAATATTTATATGATTAAATTTTTCCATGAAAGTCAAAGTTTGTTGAAATTACCAAACAGTTTTTACACAATTTATATTTGAAATATTTTTCTTTTGTAGGAGACAGACGATTCAACTGCTGAATCATCACCTTCTAAACGTTCTCGAACCGATATATATGGTTAATTTCTATATTCATATATATTGTTTTGTATTCTTCTATTGTTATAGTCTCAAAACTCAATTGCTATTCGTGAATAATATTATATTGTTTTTTTTTTTGTAATTTTATATCATATCAGAAATATATGTGTTTTGTTATTTTCTAGATGAAGGAAATAGTCAACGAATCTTTCCGTTTAACATCATATGACAAATTTTATCTTTACTAGTATTTACTTGAAATTGAACTGCTAACAAAAAGTTTCTGTTTATGGGACAATGCTAAAGATAGTTATGTAAAAAAAAAAAAACATTTTTACATGTTGATTTATGGCAACTTTGTTTTAATTTGTATCATCATCGTTTTTATTGTGACGAAAAAACTTATTGTACTTGTCAGCAGAGATGTGCATTGCACCTAAGAAACAAAGCAGGATTGGTGAAGATGACCACCGCTTACTTACTCGATAAAGTTGGAGCGGTTATGTCTAACTGTAATTGAAAACTTTTCCCCTCATATTTATTGCACTATAATATTTCTTAAAAACAATAGTACTTCATTTCTGAACATTTACTTAAGAACAACAACATAAAGTTGAAAATATCATGAAATAATATTTAATTAGATACAATATGACCGAATTTATATCTATACTAATAGAGTGTTCGTTTTCGTCTTAATTTAGTAGTTACATTTCAGCAAATTTACGTCTAAAGTGAATTTAAATATTACGCTCATCACAATGGAATTCACTAACGAGGGAACCGTTCCAAGTGATTCACGCCGATTTTGCTTATATTTTGCCCATATGTAGGGGTCAGTATGCTAAGAAAAAGCCTAAGAGGATTTGGGCCCATGTTGCTTCTTTCGAAGGTTATGGCCATTTTACTGATTTTTCGGCCTATGACAAGGTATTTACAAAAAATTCAAATGACGAAATTATGTCTTGAAATTTTGCCCATATGTAGGTCTCATGGTCCTAAATGTATGCTAAAAGTTTCAGCAAAAATAAATGCTCCATTTTCGAGATAATAAATTTGCAATAAATATTTGCATTTTATAGAGGACTAAGAAAAATCGAGTTTTTTTGGACAATCATTGTCTCGAAAATGGAACATTTATTCTTGGTGAAACTTGTAGCATACATTAAGGACCATGAGACCTACATATGGGCAAAATTTCAAGACATAATTTCGTCATTTGAATTTTTTGTAAATACCTTGTCATAGGCCGAAAAATCAGTAAAATGGCCATAACCCTCGAAAGAAGCAACATGGGCCTAAATCCTCTTAGGCTTTTTCTTAGCATACTGACTCCTACATATGGGCAAAATATAAGCAAAATCGGCGTGAATCACTTGAAACGGTTCCCTCGTAAGTTTTAAGTCAGATCAATTTGTTATCAGGATAGTTTTTAATCAACATATTGATTACGATTCTGTGTATAAATTTAACAAATGATGGGGTAAAAAAAAAACGGTATTTCAGAAAGGATACGTCTGATTATAAGTAAATCTCTTGTTCTTAACTTTTCAGTATTTGATATACGTTCTTTTTCTAAAAACCTCTAACATTATTACTGTTAGGGCACGGGTGGTACACATCTCTGGTTGTTAGTAGTAAATATTTAGTTAAAAAATAAAAATTATTTTTCTTTTGGTTATTTTTTTTTTAAGTTTGTCGTTTACATTTATTGATTTCGAACACTTGTTTTCATTGCATCCAAAGTTTATTAATACTTTCATTAATAACATCACGTATTTATTCATAAGAAATATTCTTGTTTTTAGATTTTATTTAAAAAATGTGCATTATTATTTGTGGTGTTGTAATTGTTTTAATTCTATTAGTTCTATTAGTTCTATTATATTTACTTCGTCCTATGTATCGACCAACATGTCTTCTGAATCTTCGTGATACTCATGTTGTTATTACAGGTGGTTCAAGTGGTATTGGAAAAGAATTAGCTAAACAATTATTAAATGAACATCAAGCACGTGTAACAATTTTAGCACGAAATCAAAAACGTCTTGATGAATGTCGACAAGACTTAGCTCCAGATAATAATGAACGATTATTTTGTCTTTCTGTTGATGTTAGTGGATCGTATACAGATATACAACAAGTAATTGAACAAGCTTGTCAATATCATGGGAATCGACCAGTTAGTATTTTAATCAATAATGCTGGTATTTTTTATGCTAAAACATTTGATGAAACAACAGCCGATGAATTTGAACAAATGGGTAAATAAATAGATTCTTGTATTATAATAGATTAGTTAATTTTAAGAACTCTTTTGAAAATATTGATTTCGATTTTTTTAAAGGTTTTCCTATCAAATATAAGTTTATCAGTGTTAAATAAAATAATCGTACATATAAAAATAAGAAAAAATTCTCATTCATAAATTTCTGCTAGAGTATTTATTTAATTTAATATTTTTCTCATTTTAACTTTGAGAATATTACTTCTTCGAACATTATTTTTAACTAGACAATAGAATTGATTTGTTCTATTTTATTTTCTAGTTCGTATTAATTATTTGGGTGCTGTTTTTTGTACGAAAGCATGTCTTCCATCAATGCGTCAACTTGGTTCTGGTCGTATAGTTCTTGTTTCGTCTCAAGCTGGTCAAATTGGTGTATATGGTTATACATCTTATTGTTCAACAAAATTTGCTTTAAAAGGTTTAGCTGAATCTTTACAAATGGAATTAGCTCGTGATAATATATATGTTACTGTTGCATATCCACCTGATACTGATACACCAGGATTTACTGAAGAAAAAAAAACACAACCAATAGAAACACGTTTAATTAATGACACATCAGGTGTTTTATCAGCTGAAGAAGTAGCAAGAAAAATAATTATATCTACTCAAAAAGGTTCATTTTCATGTTGGTATGGTATAAATGGATTTTTATTAGAATGTTTAACAAGTGGTGCTCAACCAATTACGAATACATTAGAACTTATATCTCAATGTTTAACTGTTGGCTTAGCACGATTAATTATTGCTGGACTATTAAATACATTCTATGCAATTACTAAAAATAAAAATTCAAGAAAAAACAAGACAAATTAATTTTATGATGTTGAATGTTTGCGTTTCTTTCAAATAGACAGAATGAATGCCAGAACAAAAACAAAAGACAATTTTTTTCCATTCTAATTTTACTTTATTCAGATAATAAATTATGCATTGAATAAAGTAAACATTTTGTTTGTCTTATCTAATATGTGTGAATTTCATTAGACTTTAGTTCTCCTATAATTTTATTCATGATTGCTTTTTATGCCATTCATATGCTTCCTAAGGATTATATAAATGGTTCAAAAAGTTGAAACAATTCAACTGGTTTATTTCATATGTTATAAATTAGCATTTAGAAAGAATCATTGGTAATATTTTGATACGATCTACTTTCAATGTTCTTTGATCTACGAAAAATACAATGCATCTATTCAAATATAAACGATCAATTGATGACAGCCTGAGAAGGATTTTTTTCCGAAAGAAATAATTGCTTATTTATAACCTAACTAAAAATGATAAAAATAATCGTTTCAACAATGAATTTTTTTATTAATCAAATCAAATAAGCTTTTTCATACGATGCATTTTAATTGTGAAAATATTCTTAAAATAAATTGATACCTAGTGCTATGTTATTTTTGAGACAAATTTATCGATTCTAATATTGGTAAAAAACTTAGTTTAACGGCTTTAACATGAAACTCCAACTATGACGTAAGAGTTTGAAAACTTTCATCGCCCTAATAGTGCAACAGTAATCAATGTCAGCATATCGTCCAGTAGCATCTTTACTTCTATGTTATAAACAATAGAATAAATCTTGAGTGTCCAAAGCTCAAATCAAAGTTGATTGTATTGTAAGTTTCCTGATCTTTTGATTTTTGTCAATAAATAAATAAATTCATTTTCTCTTCTTTAAATAAAATATTTATATGACTACTGTTTCAATCATTTGTAAAATTAAACAAATTATTTCGAAATTTATTTGATATGGATGTGTCTCAGAACTGAGCAAGATAAATTAGTTCTTAATTAACCTACAGTTTTCTAATCGCTAAAACAAAATCCAATATCCACAATATTTTTTGTTCTTGGAAATATGCAAGAAGTTGACTGTGTGATTGGTAAAACTATTGCATACAATGCAGTACTTTTGGTTGTAATGAATGGTGGAGGTTTGAAGGAATCAACGGCCAATTTTCGATATCTCTAAGAATTATCATAGTTCTGCTGAAATTTATTCGATAGCGCCGAAATTCCTATTTCTCAGTTACTGGGAGAATGAGATCATTTCAAGAGGAAAAAGACTGGTTTTATGACTTGAATGACTTTTGTGATTTACATGACTTAGAATGATTTATATAATTTTAAAGTCATCTAAATCATGTGCTTCATATGGTATGTTTTGGACATGTTATTCGAATGTAACTGTAAAATTTAACTGTCCGTGTTTGTGTGAACATCGAAAATGTTCAGAACTATGAAATTTAGTTTAGCAAAGTGTTGGAAATTACCATGAGAAGCGATCTTAAGAAGTGTTATTCAAGAAGATATATGTATATTATTTTGAATTAATTATATTATTACATAGACAATAGATGAAGGTAGTCGTACCAAAAGCGAACAATAATGATATATAAAAATATTATAAAAGTCAAGCATAAGTTCTTATTGTGATGAATTATGTAAAAAATGAAACGTTTTACATCTTTTTGGTCAAAAAAAGACGAGGAATACAGTCCGAGTTCGGTTCGTTTTCGGTCTTTGACATGCACACTGATGACACACATTGCTTTACTTTTCAAATGCTTCAGCAAGGATCTCTAACTACGCCATTGACTGATAACTTATCAACTACACAAGTTAACTTGCAATTTTGCCTACAGTAAATAGAAGGTTGGATGAGTAAATACGGAGACCAAAAAACTCACAAACAGCATATGAATCTTAGTCTGATGGATACGAGAGTTATCTTCGTTGTAGTTTAGAACGCTTATTGCTTTCGACTTTTGTCATTAGATATATTCTTTCACAAATTTAAAGTGCGTAACTCTGCAAACTGTCAGTTGAGCGATTGAGGTGGGTTTTTAGAAAAAGCAAAATGCATATATCAGTCATATACTACTGGTGAAAACAGTGAATAAGGAACTAAGTCTATAGAAAAGTAGGTCAACACTAAAAATGACTTATTAGCAATAGTGATGCGCTCTTGGAATAACAACAATTTGGCCAGATCAAAAATGTTCATAGATTGAAGCATAGAAACAGAAAAGATGCTACTTTAATCGACAAGCTATTACTTTAAGAACAATTAATTATCTCAAAGGCATGATTTTTAAATAAAATCTATCGTATTTATCCAAAATATTTCCTGGATGGGTAGAAATTATTAGTAGGTAGTTGAATATATTTCCCATGTTTAGAGTGAGTACTACTAATTATTATTTTTCATGTACTCATTGAATATAATAATGATCTGTCAGCTTGTCGCACGCTATAGAAACTGTAACCTATTGCATACACACATAGGTGTCAGCATGAGTTATTATCTGCGGTCGTCAGTAGGCATGAGTGGGTGGGAATGGATGTTTGTCTAAAGATGTTAAGGCGTGAGAATGCGCCAGTGCAGGCGGACTTTATTTGTCTCCGATAGGTTGAGCAAGATGTTGATCATGTCTCAGTTCTCACATCTGAAGACACCCACATACATCAATTTAGTACCTCTAATGATACCTAATGACAGCTCACATTTAGTCGCGCCAACTTATGCCCACTGACGGTAACTCAAAACAACCCGCAATGACGCCATCGCGCTTATAGAATAGGCTACCGCTGGTGTTCGGTACGAAAAATGTCCTGCGACGAATCGGCATAGTACTTCTATGATTCGCATTTCACTCATGAAAGATTTTCAGATTTTATTGATACTGCATATGTATTTCGAGCTATTGAACTACAAAAGAAACAAAAAAAAAATGATTGAAATTCAATTGCAATCATAAGAATACTTACATTATTTAGTCATCAACAATATTATATTTCGAAGAAGGAAAATTACTTTTGTTTTCACTTTGAAAGCTCAGCTTCTGTTTTATTTGTCACTTACAAGCAGAATCCTATTTTGTACGACTTTTTATTAACATCATCATACACATTTGTGTATGTGTTATTTTTCCCTTTACTCTCTCTTCTTATCTTTTCTTCTGTTTTATGTTGATGAAACTAACTTGTTGTTAGGTGACGTTGTGCGTCATAGATAATAATCAAACACGAAAAAGTTACAGTATCATACTATATATAGATATACACTGTGATATCTACTTCTCATCTTTTTGTTTGATATTAATAATGAAATATCTACAGTTATTTGCCGTACTTTGTGTCGCTTCGGCTCATTTTCAACATAAACTCTCTCGTGTAAGTACGATGATGAACAGCGTAACAATATCATACTGATCTTGTTAGAATGCAGATAGTATGATGAGCATGTCGACAGTAGAATAAGAACGGAGTTGAAACAAAAGTTTTGCGTGTAGAAAAAAATAAGTGTATAGAAATAGTATTTAGGAGAAAAGGTATTGGAATCGGAACGAACGCCCACAACTGGGCAAGCACGAGTTTTCTCGAGTAGAGTGTGAAACGTTGGTATATCAGAGTGTTTGCCGAGAAGACTCACACCGACACCCACACCCACACCCACACCCACACCCACACCCACACCCACACCCACACCCACACCCACACCCAAACGGAAGGAAGTGATATCCAACTACTGTGGCTTCGAGTTATGTTGACCTTCAACAAACACAGTCAATAATTTTATTATCAATCGTTCTGCTGGGTGCAAACCAGACGAACAAATCGAATGAAACTCAACAGTGAAGTTCTAAAAAGAATAAGAACAAGTCCGAATTACACTCAAGATAGTAAACCTTGTAATATATGTGACAGCGGCAAGATAGATATTTGTTGTACATGTATTCATCTACTGATAACATATTGTTGACGTGTAAGATGACGGCAGCATCCAAAGAGAGAATGATGGAGAAAAGAAAAAAACTGACTCAAGGCATGTGAAAACACATGTTACATTGATCAAACATGAAGGAGAATCGGTGCAAAAAGTAGGCAAAGAAACATAGAGTAACAAAAGTAGCTTTAATCTCGAGTGGAATTAGTTCATATATATAGAAAAAAATTGTTCCTAATCAGTCTTTGTTCTCACACATTTATGTTCCTGTTTAGAACGAGAAAAAGTGGGCTACAGTGGCCCACAATCGGTCAAAGTGAGGATGCAGATGTGACTTTGAGAAAAGAAAAAACTCACAACACACCCACATGCACACCTACTCCCAAACCTAATATGACTACAATTTTCCGATGATAAACTTTGTTTTAACAGATTTGGATCATTGAAAAGATAATTATTGGATTCGAGAACCTCTCTTCTCAAAATTTTGAAAACTAATGTTTAGTGACTGTGTTAGGTAACGATGAAGGAATTGTCAATTTTGAATGGATTTTCAATGAGATATAATTATCAATTTTTAACAGCCATAGTAAAGATTGTTTTGTGATGAATTAGACACTTGACTAAGATCGTCTTCTTAAAACGAAAACATTCAGTAAATACACAGTGAACTCTTTCTTTTTATCTACAGTCTCACAAGTTCTTGACATGGAATTCATTTATAAAAATTGATAGTCGCAATTTTAGAGAACTCAAGCAAATACAATTGTTTCCTACTGATTGCTGCGTCTATGAAATGATTTGATAGGTTTTTTTTTCTTTTGTCTTTTTCTCATTGATTCAACATATCACTGAAATTGAAGGTGACAAAACCTTATGAAATCCTGAGGAAAATCTAAAAACTAGGAGACTCTTGATTAAATCAAGAGATTCAGCAACTCTGTATATAAATGATTGGATGACCAGTATCTTTTTCAATCCATTAAAATTGTTTGGTTCCTATGCTGCTGAAATACCAATTATTAATATGACTTTGAATCAACTAGTGTATATCTAATGAAAAGTCTACGGAAAAAATTACATAATAATGAAAATACCATACTGTTCATTTCTTTTTGAATAAAAAAATAATCTGCTAATTTAGAAAAACAATTATGCACAATCGAGAAATGTGTTTGATTCAAAAGATATTATTCAAACAGATGTATTAGTTATTGGTGCAGGTATATCAGGCTTAGAAGCGGCTCGTTTATTGAAACAGAATGGGATACAAACGCTTGTAATTGAAGCACGAAATCGTACCGGTGGTCGAATCTGGTCAGTTCAATCAAAAAATGGTCACGTACTCGATTTAGGTGCAGCTTGGCTTCATGGTGTCAATGGATCTATACCACACGGTTTTTTATCGAATCCTCTATGGGATCTTGTCGAACAAGCTAAAATTCCTACCCGTAGTACAACACTCAGTGATGTACAAATCTTCAATTTGTTCGATCAAAATATAGCAGAAAGTCTCGAAACATGGTTCAATGATTATATGGATTATATTCAAGAAACGACCAAAACACCGGGAGAAAATCAATCTCTCCAACAATATGCTGACAAATTTTCAACAATGAGAAATTTGACTGGCGAAAAGCGAGATGCATTTTTCACTTATTTGCATACGATTATCGAAGGTAATGAGGGTATCGAAATCAGTAAGATTAATGCAAAGAATTTTGTTGACATTACCGGTGTGTATTATGGTGTAGAACCAGTATTCCAAAATACCGGTTTTCATGCAGTTATCGACTACATAGCCAAAGATTTTCGAGATGGTGACATTCGTTTCGGACAAATCGTAAATAAAATAAGTTACGGGCAAGATGTAGTTGAAGTACAAACTACAAATGGGAATATCTATCATGCCAAATATGTTCTTTTAACAGTATCATTGGGTGTACTAAAAGGCCGACAAATTGAATTTAATCCACCGTTACCACAATGGAAATTGAATGCTATTGATCGACTTGGATATGGACTTCTGGATAAAGTTGTTTTAGTATGGGACACAGCTTGGTGGAATTCGGCAAATTATTATTTTATGCGTGTCACATCGAACCCATCTCCTTGCAGGGTTTGGGCTAATGCCAATAAATGGAACGACCGACCGGCTCTCTTCTGTTTCTTTATTGGTGACGAAGCCAATCGACTAGAAACGTTAACAAACGAGCAAGCTGTTCAAGAAGTGCAAAATGTATTACAGCAGATGTTTCCAAATCAAACTGTTCCGATGCCTATCGATAGCTATGTAACACGCTGGAAATCAGATCCATTTGCCAATGGTTCATATTCGTACATATCACGAGATCAAACTTATGAAGATATGATATATATTAGTCAACCAATAGCTAATAAATTACTCTTTGCAGGTGAAGCCACATCCAAGGAGTTTTACGGTTATGCACATGGTGCTTTGCTAAGTGCACGACGAGAAGTAACTCGATTGTTGTATGTTTATGATTTGTTGGTAAATCAAACTACGCCCGCATCTCGGTCAACAGCGATCAGTCCATTCGAAATCATTATCATTATCAATGTCATGTTTTTGAAACTTTTACCTTATTTAATGAACTGATTTTTCTATTTTATTTGTTAATGTTCTTTAAAAATTATTGAAAATTAATAAAACACACAAATGTAAAACTGTTTTATCAATCGAGAACGATGTCTATTTTTATATTGTTGAGTATGATATAGGTTTTGTCGTTTGCTTTGATCAGACACGAAAAATCTAGTCCTTTCGTAACATTCCACTTTGGAGAAAAAACTAAATCAATTTTGACATTTTTAGTTCGATGCGTGGGTCTTATTGTTTGACTTGAAATTTGAAGGTCATTTTTGAAAATGTGACAAAATCTGTTTCGTATCTGAAACATAATATTTTCATTACGTTGTTGTTGAATGGGTTTTCTTTTTCAAGTATTGCACGTTGAAACGTAAGACATTTCGGATCTGCTCGATTGTTTGTAACTGAAGAAAGAACGATGGTCTATTTCTCCTCAATCGTTTTATGAAGAGAAATAAATTGGGAATTTGTGTAACTTTTTCTCAACTACAAAACATTCGAAAGTTGGTCGGCACAGAAACATTATAAATTGCTTTTCAATCATTACTTTTAGCAATACATTTGAATTTTGTTATGATTTGATTTGATGTTCTACAAAACATTACTTTTCATAATTTCATTTGCCCTCGTTCTTTTTCAAAATAATTGCATGCAACTGAAATACACACGTTTTTCATTTTCAACCATTTGACATCAAAAGAACAACTCTAAATAGAATTTCTATAGGAATCGTTCTGCTGCTTTTCTTATTGAGGTTGTGGCTGTGAGTATGCGGATGTTGGTGAGCATAGGTGGGATGTGAGTGGAAGTGTATCTATTCTTCTTCCACATTGACATCCAATATTGTCACATCTAAGAGATAGAGAAGTGAACAAGTTTCTTTTATAAATGTACAACAACTTGATATGTTAATCTCAAAAGAATCTGCTGCCCTCATTCGATGCATATCAAGGCGAATAATAGTACACGTTCAGATTATTCGCCTAGTCATAGAAATCGATAGAAAGATGTGCGTCATTTTTCTGCTTGTAATACGATATGACTCAGTAATTCTATTTTCTTTCAGTCTCACCAGTAAAACAAAGGATTGAAGAATAATAGCAAGAAGAGAATATGAACAACAAAGTGAGACTGCCAATCTACAGTGAACAGCATCCGAATGCAAGTATTTTTCGATTTTTATTTTACTATTGAAATAGGACAGCAATGTGTTAAATATATATATTTATAGCTCAAAGCATGCCTAGCAAAAAACTGTTATCAATGTAAACTCCTAGAGTCAATCACTTGCTTAGTTAATCTATTACTTTCACTTCGTTGAATTTTTATCCGACTTCGTACTTCTTTGTATTCATGTCGATCGGCTGTCGATGGACGCAACCAAGTAACGTTAGAGCAACACCCCCATTGTCCTTGCTGTTTATGTTGTGTGGTTAAAAATAAGACTTGTTTGACTCTTGAATCTTTTGTCGTCTGTCCGCGAATTTTCGGTCCAAACGGACAATAATCACCCGAACAGAGCATACTATAATCGGCTAAATAACCACCAAAAGCATGTCTCTGTGCATTGATCCAATCGAATGAGAAACAGTGTTTTGAGCCATCCAAAAAATAGATCAGCGTCACAAGAGTCTCAGGTGAACGAATATCAAGTAGTTGCTCTAGATTATTGGCATTTTTCAAGAAGCGCGATCCATCTAGAAGAGCCAAATCGAAAACGTCCTGATTGACTTTGAGAAATTTCACATACGGTTGATAGATGAAATCGGGTTTGCTAGCAAAGGTAAGATGTTTCGGTGGTGTGATCTCTCTTCGGGATGACCAAAAATAGCCGTTGTACTGATAGAAATTGCAATTTCGTCGTACAATTGTTTTGTTGACACTATTCGGCGATTGACTGTAGTTTTTCAATAAATCGACCAATTCCCAACGGTTTCTTTTGTCGAAAGACACTTCACATGAAGAATAAATATGCGATGATTCATGAGAGCATTTTTTGCAAAATCGAATGGTTTTATTAGTACCATACTTGCCTTTGCGTCGCATGTTATCGTTGTCAAATGAGAATTTCTTCAATGGTTTTTCTTTTAAGCAATATTTTACCGTTCTTTGAAAAGTGTTGGGCAATTACAGCAAACGCGTCATCTCAATTCACACACAACGACATGAGTCATATTTCGCAATCCGCTAGTCACATTCTTCAAAAACACATAAATATTTGTCTACAAGTGTTGTTGCCAGAATTTTTCTCAAAATTCTTTCATTGATTGTGGGAAATCGATTATTAACTAATCCTACACAGTGTTTCAAAAGTCCCTTATCAAAAGTCATTTTTCAGAACTCACGTACATATAAAATCGAAACAAATTGAGAAGACGTGCATATGACTGAAGATAAGACCCATAGTCTACACTCACATGTTCCATACGAAAATTATTACAAAAATCTTCGTCTTGTTATGTCAAGACCATTATGTATTGAAGATCTCTGCTTTTATCAAGGGGGAAAAAGCAGATTTTGGCGTCCAAAATCTTTCAAAATCTTCAAAATCTTTCAAAATCTTTCAAAATCTCTCAAAATCTTTCAAAATCTTTCAAAATCTTTCAAAATCTCTCAAAATCTTTCAAAATCNTTGCTTGGATTCTGATTCACATTGTACTGCGTTTCAATCAAGACGTCATTCAGATATATCCTATTGAGAATGTGTACTCGAAAGACAACCAGCGTCCTGATAAGATTCGTAACAAATTTTTTTAGCTTAGTGTCCAAGCTTTTTTTGCCCTCTATGAGCATCCTCAAGCTGAAATTTTTTGAATAACACGTTCCAGTTACATAACATGAATTTTCAATGCAAATGAGTTCGAAAAAGAAGAGAATTATAGCAGCGACACATGTGTCCCTAATTATACTTTTAACAGTAGGTCTTTTCAAAGATAGATGAACTTCAAGTTAATTATCATGGTACAGTGGAGCAACGGTAAGCCTGTTCAATTCAAAAACTAAATATTTTATATGTACGGTCTTGTAATATCCTGGCATTCAGATTCTGATACGATCTCGAAAGGGTCTGTTTACTAATTGGGTGATCAATTACATGGACAAGAGCTCGGAATGATCATCTAAAATCACATGTGGCGAGTGATTCTATAATCACTGCTGTTGAAAACTCGCTAGGAAAAATCGGCTATTCTTGGAAATAAACGTCCATTTTTGACTGAAGAAGCATCAAATTCTGGTTTAGAATACAAGTTTGCTAAACACATCCTAGAAAAAGAACTGATCAACTTAGTCCTTGATGGCGATAAAATTTGAAAGTCAGTGAATTGCCTTTGTCTATAATATTCGTATCATCTAACTAAATACTTAGCGTTTCAGTCATCAGCTCAAGCTACACGCAGAGAGAACAGCAGGAAACAACTGTTGAGTATACTATAATGCGCTCATTTTATCGACTTCTAAGAAAAATTGTGTTCATTCGTACACTCTCTTTTAACTATGTAGACCCTCGTCATGGTTATTGGAAGGCTTATATGTAGAGCTGTTGCAGAAAATAAAAAAAGCATGGAGCGCAAAACGTTGACCAGATGCTTTTTCAGTTAACTCTATGAGCTATCGCTTGGTAAAAAAGAACATTATGTTTCATGACTTCGTCTCTTAAATATTTCATTTACAAAATCAACAAAGTTTTAAAAAAGTCAGAAAACTTAAAATTTAATCGACTAGTGATTTCAAATGTGTTTCCGACATTTCAGAATACGTTGGCAGATAAAGAAAAGGAAAGCGTCAAATAAATTTTGAAGCGATTGAACGAATACGAAGAGAAGGGATAACATTTATCATGAATATATTATTTGTAAACTCTATCGCAGTAGCCATCGAAATGATTGTTTATCATTGACTAAATGCCATCGTTAATGATCTGGTTACTTAAAGAAAAATATGTATTTTTTAATGGATAATATTCCTTTTTTATTTAAACGCAATAGAAAAAAATAGGCTATACATTTGTCTAATCAACATTGCCGTAAAAAGAATAGAACTTGGGTTTCAGCTGCATATCAATTGTCACTGCAGTAATTCATCGAGTCTGGCCAAAAAGTCAGCTGCATGATCCATCTGCTCATACTGTATTTCTATGGTTACTTTATCAGTAGTCTTTCTGAAATTGCTATTGTGGGGGAAAGTTAAAAATCGAACCCTATATGAGCAATGACTCGATTTAAGATTGCTCGAATGATTATAAGTCACCGCTGATTGTTTCCTCGAATATTGCTCATATGCCCTCTGAAAATCATGTATTCGATGAAAAACAATATGTACTAGCACGCACATGAAAAAGAAGTAATATCACAGAGAATAAGATATCCAACAATGAAAATGTAAGAAAAAACTCTGACTAAGCAATAAATTTCGTTTGGCAAAGAATTAACACATTTTTGGTAGATGTTTAGATTAGAAATACGATTCATTTATTTTTGTTTACATAAAAAGGCAGACAAAATGACATCATGTTCGACTTGAAAAGTATCGCAAAACATGGAAATTTTTTATGTAAGGTATTTATTGGGATGGAGGAATCCTTTGAGCTTCGTAAATTATTCAAGAACTGATCACGTGATTAACAATAGATCGAAATCGAATAAAGTGTTACGATATATAACCAAAAGGATTATTGGAATGTGTTTAATCAGGAATAACCCAACCCTGATTCAATGTTGGTTTAAGTGTACTGAAGATCGCTCAAGATCCTCATAAAACCCTACTTCAAATCTCATTAGGAACATGGGTATTTCTCATTGACATGAAAACAAATGTACTTCAAATAACTTGCAGGATCGCTGAATTGAATTTTCACTTCACCGAATTTGAAGGGCTAGAGAGACGGAGCGAATAATGGACTTCAATTCACTGTTTGAAACCAACCTACTCGTAAAAGTTTCAGAATCTCTCATTTGTTCGCTTTCAGGAAATCTCAGAAAGTGAACGAGAGATACCCATAAAGATAGTTACAAATTGCTTTACTCATGGCTGAGATGCCTAATTTTAAATTCGTTTTCTTACTTAAACTTATATTGTCGAATTTCTGCACTACAGATGTAGTGGTTGCAGCATCTGCAGTTGTTGATCTTGTTGCGCTTTGTTGTTCGCCATGATCATCAAGAATTTCTTTCAAATGTATAATATGTAACCCACCATGATGATGTAATGGATCTGATACAACTTCAAACATTGTACCCGGCATTAGAATAACTTCATTTTCGTTTGGGTAACATGTGTATGCTGCGATGGAGTGTCCATTCGAGCACTCAATATTAAATAATGTACTCTGCGAAGTTTTGCCAAGAAATGATGAAATTACATCAACAGATGTTGAGCACGAGCTAACACTCCACCAAGTTATTATTTGACCTTTTTTGAATGTCTGACTAACATCTTTATTAATTCCACGCCAGGCACAGCCTTTAAATTTCGGTAGCTTGGATGCCGCAGAATCCAAAAGCTTTAAATACGCAAACCATGGACGTACTTGGGACCGATCATCAGCAATGAGTGCTTGATTTAAAAGACGATACACACATGCATCATCCGACATTTCCATGGTATAAAGATAAATTGTAGCAGCTTCGTCTTTGGTTAAGTTGTGTTCATTTGGAAACGTACAGTATTTCTTGGCCAAGTTAACAAATCGATTGATTTTTGGTAAAAGGTCATGTAGGTCTACCATAGCTTCTTCAAGAGATAATATTTTCCATGTTATGTAACCAAAACATGCCGGTAGATGTTTATTTTCGAACTCAACATTGGTGAAACGTTTCCCTGAGCTATTCATTATAACAAACTGATAATATGTGTGCTATGTTGCCGAACGATTGTCTTGACTTTATAAAAAGAAATGAAATGAAAAACACGACTTCACCTTTTCTGTATCTACATTTTTATTTCTATGCACCAGTTGAATATTAGAATTATATCTTTAACATAGGATTCATCAGCGTCGACGATCAATGAAGCAAATTTTTTCTTTTTTTTTTATGATTCTTAGTTTTCTTTTCATCTCTTACCCTGTTCTGTTATTCTGAATATATCACTAGGATCAACATCAACCAAAAATCTCCATCTTTCGATAAGCTCTCTAAGCTATGATCATTTTTTCTTCAATTACACTTGAATAGATATATTAGTAGCTACTCTATCTTTCTTCAAAATTACACGTGTAAATGGCAAGAAATAGATGAGAGAGTTGATATTATATCTGCAGTAATTTAGTATCTTTGAAGAAAAATTTAAATGACGCACTAGATTCAATGACATTTTAAACTCGATTCCTGTTCTTTGGTGAGCCACTGTCTCGTATGGAGCCTGTAGTTATAATAATGATACCAATGGCAATGATCATGTATTAACATTGTTGGCATGCAGCACAAGTTGTTCAGAAGGTGTATCATCTTTACCGAGAGACTCAATATCGATACAATGACTTTTTACTATTGTCAAATATTTCCAAGGAGAGCATTTGACTATGTCGAGTTTCATGACGATGTTAACCATTAGTTCCTTTGCAATATGTCCTTAGAATGGAGTGATTCTCAAGATTTTGTTTCACGTTTAACCAGAGATTGTTGTGAAATTGAAATTTCACAACATCATAAGATTCGAAGCAGTCGAATATCTAGCTTGGTGATATTTGACAATAGTGAACAGTCCTTGAATCGATGCCCAGTCTCTCGACGAGAATGATTTACCTTTCAAAAAAATTTGACCTACAAACCAAGAGTTCTAGTACACAATCATCATCAATTATATCGTCATTATAACTGTAGGCCTGTTACAAGACAGTGGATCATAAAAGGACAGAAATCGAATTTATAAGATCGTTGAAACCAGTATGTCAACTAATTTTTGCTTCAAGAATAGTAAATTACTTCAAATACAATACCAACTTTCTCATCCATTTCTTGTCACTTATGAATGAGGTTTTGCAGATTCATAGAGTAACTATCAATGTATCTGCGATGTAACTTTGATATCAAATAACAACAATGTAAAGAACTGGTTGAAAAAAGTAAGTGTCTATTTTATTTCGGCCAGGGCGATACACAATGCCAAGAGAATGTGCAGTAGATATGAGTGTGAGTTGGGGATGGACAGGAGCGTGGATAGATGTTTGACAGTGAGGGTCAAAAGGCTTGAAGGAATTTGGGTGCTAGTGAAAGAGATAGGTAATGGTAGTGTATTCGTATTAGAAGACAGTAAATGCTAGTTCTGATGAATGAAGGACTAAGACTGAAGTTAATATATAGATGTATTCATCGAAAGAAATAATTTAATAGAGGCCCCAGAAAAACGATTTTTTTTTATAAAAAAACTGGGAATGGAGTTTCAATCTTACAAAGATGCGTTGCAGTCTTCTCTTTCAGAGTCACTCCAACTAGCCACGAAATATTCAGATTTTGGTAGGGTTTTCGAGATTGTCATTTCGACTACGTGTTTTTTCAAAGATTTCTGTCAATTTCCTGTTGGCGCCCTTGTTTAATTTTATCTGCAGCCTTGCAGTATTCCGTTTTTAAAAATTCTAAATACGATCGGTTTTTGAAAAAGAATACTGTTTCAAAATATATGGCACAAATTTGAAAACACAATTGAAATCTCTTTGCGTATCATCTTTTATAAAAAGACTGCATTCTCGAGGGTATAAAATTGAAACTTCTCCAGCCGATCTTAATATGAATCTATAATTGACCATTTATTTTAGAGTTCAAAGTCAGACTCATACTTTTCTTTAATTTAATTTTTAAAATATGATTTCTATGATGAGAGTAATCGAAATTGTCGATACAATGTAATCACCCGAAACTCGTGTTAGCATACATAAAGGAAAAAAGTGGTTATTTTCGCTCATAAATGGAAGCAACGATAGTAAGCAAAATCTACCGCTTTTTTCCTCTGCTATGCATCAACTGTTGATGTCTGCTAGGTATACGTTACCGTCTGCAGAGTACTCTAACATGTGACTTGATTCTCGTCTAAAATCTGATACAAACAAAATTTCGAAACTTTCTCTCTAGTCGTTGATCGAGTCGATATTTTCAAGGTAGAATGCCAAGTGGATCCGTAGTCTAACAGTGGAAATGAAAACAAAATCTTCCAATACTGTTTCAATGATGAAAGCTATTGCGTGTTAATTGTGGCGCAAACATCGAACTGGTGTAAGCAACTTTTCTTTGTGCTTATATGATCTATCTAGTTCACGATTTTCAGAGAGATTTATGAGTTGCCTATAAAATAAACTGTGCAGAAGAAGCAATGTTGGTATCACATTGATAGTGGTGTCACCATCAATACAAAATGCCTTTCATCTTTGAAATAGTCTTGGAAATTTTTTTCTTTACGCTGTCAGACGATAAACCCATTGAACAATTTAGTTTAAAACTATTCTTTTGATCAGCAACCTAAGACTAAAAGTTGAAATTCTGGACTAAAGCTGCCATTATTTGTATTTTAGTTTGCGAGTGTGAGCATGGGGTGAACTGTTGAACGCGAGGTCAAGGATAGTAGGATAGGTAGGCGAGAGCGAGGATGGTCTGGGAAAAAGTTTGCTTGAAAGAGGTGTAGCTGAGTAGGTGGATGGGTAGGGTGGATGATGTGGGTGAGGAACGGTGTATGGTACGTGTTTATATAACTGTTCTCCTTTACGCCATCCTGTAATACTGATCTACTGAGAAACAGGCATCCACTCATACAAATAGTTTTATTAAAATGTGGTGATTAGAACTAAGAAGTTGAACAAACTACTTCATACGACACTGTGAGTCAATATGTAGTGAAGAAAAAGATTAAGATAAGAGCCGTTTCTAGTACTGATAATTAAATAAAGAAAATAAATCCCTTTCGAATATTCCAAACGATCACTCCGTGCAAGTTCTTCAATTTCAACAAGGTCAGTTTTGATTTAGTCATCAGATGTTACTACCAAGCTTCTTGGGATCAAAGAAAACAGTATCAGATTGCCTAGAAGCAATCACAAGTGAAGTTTATTGTACCTTACGGCAGCTTGGATGATTTGAATAGATATAAGTTGAATCTAGAAAGTCTGGCAGTAACAATAGATAACGTAATGGTAAAGAATCATGAAGAACTTGGAGAACAGGGTTTTCTAAATAACAGGCATTGTTTATCTCTCACTTATATTTCAGTAATTTACAAGGAACCCAGTACATCTTTATTCACGGACACACGACAGTACCTCGAAATATTTTCACATATTTCAATAAAGGAGTAACCGTCAACAGTACAACTTACGGAATAAATGCTTTCGAATTTATCGCCTTGTTTCACTTCACTGTCGACGTTCGTTGCAATGCTATTCAACGAACTTTCGTTATATACATGGGTACACAGAAAACGAAAGTAATACTAACTTTTTCAATAATAGTTGACAGTAGATTGACACGTTAGAGAAGGGTTTAATTATATTTGTTTGTCAAAAGCGATAAAAATGAAATTAAATCACTTCTAAAACTAAATGATATTTCTTTTGCAACAGAGAAATTACATAAACCAATGTGTTGCGTTGTAATTTAGCATAAGTGATGAAGCAATAAGTAAAAAGCAATAGACTATGGAAGTACAAATAGTTTCAAAACTTCCGAATATTATTGGGTACTTTCATGGATGTGTAGTCAGTCACAAAAACAGAGTGCTGCCATAAATAATGATACTAAGGTTCAAATTTTCAAAATCTCAAACTGCCCCAGCTGATATAATCTAGATGTTGATGAACACTATGATTTTAGTATCGTTGTTTATGGACAAATTAAAAAAATCATTTTACCAAAATGATCAATGCAGAAAGCTCAGCATTCTAATATTTTGAAACTTTCTGTACTTTTATTACTCATTTCGATCTATTAAGTGAACAGCTGTATCTCGAAACGCCGCTTTTCATTAGCTTTCATTCGGCAAAAAAATTCGTTTCTGGGTCTATTAGAGTCGAGACTGTAACTCACAAGAAAACCATTTTTGGGAACTCAGTACATCAAGAATACGTGCACTACCATTGAAGTTTCATACTAGATAAATCACATTCTGATGCATAGAAGCCTCTAAGGGTTCTAAATTGTTCAAGAGTTCACAATTTTTAGGGGGGGGGGGGGGGGGGGTGTACTACTACGTTGTTCGTACAAAAATTTGCAAAAAAAAGAGAATTGCAGAATGTGAGTGTTGATCTGGGAGTGGAGAATATTAAGACGCACAGCTACAGCCATACCCTCATGATGGGAGGACTTCTCATATGAAGAAGGGGATGGAAGAATTAACGTAAAGTCAACCTACTGCGCTTTGCTTTAGTTCGGATAAAATATATGCGATTCACTTTTCTTGAATATGTAATTTTTTCTTACCAACAAAATGACGCACAGAATATACAACAATACTGTGTATCGCTTATCTGCGCACGTTCTTTTATAGACAAGGTGACGAATACATTTCGTTTATCTTGCAAGCATCGACAAACTTCTATTTGCATCTTTTTACGACATCTTCAGCCAAAGAACAGATGAAAAAAGACCATAAAACTTAACACAACTTCTCTCATTCTAATGCAATAACAAGAGATAATCCTGCATGTATGCGATATCACGATGTTGCCATTAGTGAAGGGATACCTGTTGCATAGAGGTAGTTATCTACTAGAAGAGAAACATAATTTTTCTTTTTTTCCTATCTCACAAGTTGGTTGAGTGTGTACTTAGATGTGTCTATTGGATGAACCGAACAAGTATATCCACATTCAAAATATAGGCAATCCAAATAGCGTAGTGCTCTCGAACC